TGATCTTCGTGACGGCTTTGGAGAGTTAAGATTAGACATGGCTGTGACAAAAGACAAGAAGATTATCATTTTCTTCTATGACGATGCCGATTGGCAAGACACCGCCACAGTATATATTTGGGAGTCGTGGGACGGAAAATTAGTCAGAGTTTTTTCCAAAAGTTACGACCATGAAATTGATAACTTTTTTCCTTTCGACGATGAGCTAACTGTCGCAATTTTAGCTGAAAAATCTCAATTTTACAAATCTTTCCAGCTTTGTACATATTCCCAAGAAGGAGAGTTGAAAAGAACAGTTGAATTGCTCCCTGGTAGCTTTGCACTCGCCATTAGTTCTATAACGTTTGACCATGTTACAAATAACTATGTTTTTTTTTCTGATGATTCTTCGAAGACATTTGTGGAATGTTTTTCAAAAACTGGTAAAAGTCTTAATAATTTCGCCATCAGTTCGGGAATAAAAACATGGATCTATAAATATTTTCCTCTTAGTCATAATAATGGTGTAATGGCTGTGGTGGATACACGCAACGATAATGTATTGTACCTACGCTTACCAAAGATGTAATCAAACCAAAATACACCTTCGACAATGATGTCATCTTATAGACTACGTTAAATAGACCAAAACTCACCGAACATGCTGTAATTACGATAAATTCGAGCAACTAAATGGATTAGTCGGAATTGCCGTGAACCGTGTCAAGGTTTTTGATGTATTAAAATATTGCAATAAATCGTGTGTAATTGACCGTAAGGAAAAAGATGGCGCGGCATGTACATTTTACCAGAATGTATTGCGGGCATTAAGAATGATTGACTAAAAAAAGTTGGCAAGAAAAACTCCTAATGACGTGAAATTTTAACAGAGCGAAGAAAATAGCTTCCTGTTTTATGCCTGTCCTTTAAAAGACGTCAGTTCGCTTTTTTAAACGATTTCCGGCCGCAATGCATGGTAAAATGTACATCCGCGATCTTTTTTGTTATGGTCAATAAAGATAATGGTCGCTTGAACGAAACAGTTTTAGTAGTTGTGCACGATTTTATTTGTTTATCGGCAAATTTCCAGTAGACGCCGATAAATAAATAGTTAAAATATATATAGTGGGGTCGGTAACATCATATGAACATGAACCGACCATAGTAACTAAGTTTTATGATTCAATAAAGCCAAAATATGGATTATCACTCGAGGAAAGGAGAATTGAGAACTATCGCCGTTTATTATTCTATTTTTCTGTTTGTATGGGGCCTATAGAAAGGACCTAGTTCAACCTGCTATCTTGAATATATTCCCTTTCTAATTCAAATTCAGATCAGCGATGCAAAATAAATTGTCGCGTATATCCCCTAGCAAATATTTATAAGGTATATGTAAAGAACACTTAATTATGGTTATAAATATATATTGATTATTAGGCGAAATTTTATTTCGTGTAAAACATGCATTTGGGCCATTGCGCAATTCTTTCACACAAGACTGGCAATAGAAAAAGACTCTATCTTGCAGGTGCACGCAATGTGAGACTACTGAAAATCGTTTGCGCACGATCTGCAATTAATTATTTTACACCTCAGCAGAGTCATATATTCTTCCTGATCATATATGGCTCTAGTCTTTGGCATGATTAATTAGTTAATCTTTAACTTAATCTTCCTATTGCATATGGGGAAATTAGAAGTTTCCAGCCAGCTTGCCTTAGAAGCGAAATTTAACTTTCCATGTTACGATGTCATTTTTTATTGCACTTGAAAATGCAAAAGTGATTGAAGTGTCAGACAATTATAAATCCATTGCAATTATTAAATGCAATTCAGAAAAAGGTTTATTGCCAACACAAAGTAAACGACTTATATTTTATGTGGAGTTTAGATTTATGAATTAGAGTTATGAGTTTAGATATATGAATAGATTTCACAATCGAAGATCACGGTTGAGCCGGCTATATTGACAGTTTCAGTTTAAACTAGCTATATATAGTTCGACAGTAAAACCCATTTAATGACAAGGTAAATTATTCGATTGTTAGTTAAACCGGTACTGATGCTTGGTCAAACATTCTATTGTATGTGCTTTATTACAAACTTCGTTCGACTAAAATATTTTGCTGAAACGAAATCAATTTCGTGCCTGACCGATATAACGCTGTGTTCGGTTGAAACTGCATGCAGTCAGAGTACAGGAGACGAGGTGAAAAAAACAACAATATAAAGATATATAATCAACTTTCTTCATCTCATGCAATAGAGCATTTTTTATAGATTTTGCATGTGCGTTTAGAAAGCTTTAGAAAACGATTATTTTTGCTCGGATTGATGAAATTCGTTTTGACTTCGATTAAACTCTATATCTTGCCATGCTATTGTCAAGAATTTCAGTGCTAATTGTGAAATATTATACATACATGCATAGGGTTATGATATAGCCAAACTTGAGAGTAACTATAACTCTTGACTGGAAAGATCAAGACGAAACGCCGAAGTTTGAAGAAACTCACAAGGTTCAAGATGAGAACACAGAAGTTGAAACAAAACGGTCTCTGAAATGCTCATAAAATGTATTTGCGCGCACCGCAAAAAACTCTTCGCAATGTTGTCAATGTCAAAATGATTATGGTCCGGCTCTGCTTCGCCAAGTCCGCCCGTGTGTATCTTAGTGTGTATTTCTGATCTAGAGGAATAGTTTACCGGCGGCCATCCCACTTTAGTCTATATCGCCTATCCTACTTTAGTCCAACTTAATCCCACTTTAGTCTATCCTGTCGCACTTTATTACACATTAGACTACTTTAGTCTACTTTATCCCACATTAGCCTTCCTTATCCAACCTTAGTCTAGTTTAGCCTACCCTAGCCTAACTTAGCGTACGTTAGAGCTGAGCTCAGCCACCTCAATCTTCTTCAGCGACAGCCGGTGTCACAGGAAATTTGGCCCCCCCGAAAATTTGGCCCCCCCGGGCCAAATTTCCTAGGAAATATGGCCCCCCCGGGCCAAATATCCTAGGAAATTTGGCCCCCCCTTCGGAAATTTGGCCCCCCTCTAAAAAACATAGTTTACCTTACTATTTTAGAGCTAGAGAACCGTTAAGTGTATAAAAGTTTTAAGTTTATAAAAGTCTATCTAGCTGTACTCTTGTTTGAGTTACAACTAACAAACAGCACTGACGGATTTTGTATGGTGCATGTAACCTTGTTTTTGTGTTTGCCGATTGTTTTTAAACGTTTTTATGCAAATTTGTATTAATTATTCCCTAAATGTTAGCCGCATGCACATTAACACTTTCGCCAACGCATGTTGTCATCGCTTGCTAAAGTATGGTTGTTATTCTAACGAATTTCATATTAGGTTCAGAAACTTGTTGAATATTGAGTCAAAAGTTCGCGATTTTAAACTATTATATTTTATATATATATTGAGAGTATAAAGTATATCGAGGGGGACCAAATTTCCGAACTGTGAAATACGTGATTTGTCCTCCCCAGAAATTCTTAATTTGGCGACCTTATAAAGGCTATAAATTATAGGCTTAGCGGTTATACAGACCGCCAGGGGGGCCAAATTTCCTAGGAAATATGGCCCGGGGGGGCCAAATTTTGGGGGGGCCAAATTTCCTGGGACACCGGACCTTAACCTACTCTACTCTACCTTAGTTATTAGCATAGCCCAATGTGGCCTACTTTTGCCCACATTCCTGTTCCTATAACTTACCATACCCTACCTTATACCCTATACTTTTTCTTGCCTTATGTACCCTATCATACACTAGTAACACACATGAGAATAGATTAATCAAATGATGCTATACTGAATATTATTCTTTACGTTTCCGAATCATGAAATTGGTAATTTCAAATTACACTCAGTATTGTCGAATATTCAACTTCACAACTCACCGACATGTCACATAGTTTCGTGATTGTTATGATTCAAATTAATCAGAGAACCCCGTATTAGCACTTTCAATGTGGTAAATGTAAATAAACAGTAAGGCGTTTTGGTCAACTGTAGGCTTGCACATGCATAGACAAGCAAGTAACCATGCATACACAAGATGTGACTAATTTTTACTTTTGAAATATCAGTCATGATTTAACTTCATGCAAATAAAGTACACTTTTTTACATGCATTGAATTGACCAGCTCTGTTGAATGTCCGAATTCCATAAAGGATGTTACATACGGCAGCCGCTTTCATATGACTTGATAATACATATTCACTGTCGTCATTACATTTTGAAAATAGCCAAACACTGTTCAGTTATTGTAAAGGTATTGATTTTTGAAAGTTTTTTTAAAGCTATGACAGATGCGATTGCAGTTATAATCGTTTTTGAAGAAAATGCTTTCATTTACTTAATTTTTAAATGTCAATTTTTAAATATAGCGAGCCGAGTCGCAGCTAAGAATACCAAAGCTAATCTTCGAAATGTCTTCTTTCGAAAAGAGGTAGTCGATTTATATAACTTTCCATGCAATTTTCCTATGGAAATGAAAATTGGAACCAAGGCCGATTTTAAACGACGATTGTGCCGGAAGCAATCCTTTGAAATATACTTTCCAATACTTTCTTGATTACGTCATGCCTTGTAAAAGTACAGTTCGGCTCTTATAATTAAGATAGCCATTTGAAAAAGTGCAAAATATTTTTCAATTCAAGGCGTTTATTCTTTCTTATTTCGTTCAATAAATGTGAGAACAAGTTTAGCATAAAAACGTCTTTCTTATTTCGTTCAATAAATGTGAAAACAAGCATAAAAACGAAACTGATACTGAGATTTCCGGAGCTGTTGGGCTGTGAATTTTGGTGTGTTTAAACAAGTTTGACAGTTTCCACAAAACCTCAATAGCAGGGTAAGCGCTCTATAATTGTTAATCAAATTTGTGCCGATACTTGTTCAAATATTGCATTATGCTTTGTCTTCCTTCTCCGCCTACTGAAAAATTTTGCTGAAACGCAACAATTTCTTGCGCAAAACAAGCCATATGATATATGTTGCGTTCGGTCGAAACTGCAGCCAGAATACAAGAGACACGGTGAAGAAAACAAAATTTCAGAAATCGGATTGGTAAGTTATATAGAGTTCAATGTTCTCTGAATATACTCGTAATTTTTCTTATAGTTCCTCAAACAGAAATGTGTGCTACTTTTGCAGATTATATGCATGTATACGAATATTCTGATAATTTAATTCATAGCGTTTAAAGTTCCTGCGAAATGTACTTGAAAATCAATATCTTGGTGTTCATTTTGTCGTTGTCCTTTGTACTGGAAGTAAGTGCTTACAGTTCATGCGTATAGTTCGTTCAATTCCAATTTCATCACTTTTACTGCGCGGAGCTTGCATGCGAGTTTCACATTTTGCACCGAAATTGATAAATTGTTGTTATAAAAACGAGGCCATTTGACGAAAAGTGAATCATATATGTAGCTGTATGATATAAGTTTTCTATAAAATAACCGTAATATATACATATATAGGCGAAGAAACCAGCACTAAGTGATTTGGTTTCGCTGTAATCTTTTATACGTACAATTACGATGCATGTGGTTAAAACACTCCACAGTCCAGGAAAATGTGAAAGACCTTTCAGTCGATTTAAAAATGTGTGATTTTTTTGCTTATGTTTAGGGGGCAATTTTTACTGAGGGTTGTGATAGGCGAACTTAACACGCTTTTCTTTACACCGGCCAGACCTGTATTGTGGAATTCAGTACAGACAGATTAGAGCTCTGTAATACCTCTGCATTCAAGATTAGAGCTCTGCAATACCTCTGCATTCAAGCAGAGATCGTTATTTATAGCCATATATATCTGGCTAGTGCAGAAAATGCAGTTTCATGCACTGCTATATTCTAACGAATCTTAGGTGCAGGGCCAATATATATTATTGCACAAATGCAGGGTTACGATGCCCAACTGGCGAGTAATCTTCAGGACAAAAACCAGGATGAGACCCTCAAATTTGAAGGGACTGGCGAGGCTAAAGATGAAAACACGAAAGTTGATGCTAAACGTTCTGTGAAACGTTCTCGTAAAAAAACGAAAAGTATTGGAGATCTTAGCTTGGAATTGGCGAAGCTACACGTGAGTTGCTGTTATTAATTAGTTGTTTTTCACAGTCTGTACTAATTTTTTCATTTCTACGTATATACTCCATCAAGAATTTTCATATTTTAGATATTGGAAGAAACTTTGAGGAAAAGCAAAGCACTCGACAAATTAAAAAACGAAGTCAATGAAAATTCAGAAGGTAATCGTCCGGAACATAATTTCGTATACCTTTGCAATTGCTTTGCATCCTCTCATGCAGTTGGGTCGATTTTCATTGAAGTTCTTTCTTTACACATCTTTGCGCCGCACTACATTTATGTACCAAATAATAATTTTTACGTTTTCAATATAAAATCCACAGATAATTGCCGTAGGATCAAGAAAGTGGGCGAACCAATCGTTCACCATCATTCTGGAACTACTCAGGGAACGTGGATGAGAGATCCGCTGGGGTTGCTAGGCGCTGAGAAAATTTGGTACATCAATGGATATTATGGGACTAATAAAGTACTGGAATTCGAAGACATGGATCATTTCAAGGCTGGAGAAATCGGCAAGACCCACACCCTTCCATATAACATTGATGGTACAGGATCTGTTGTTTATGGACGATATCTTTACTTTAACAGGTTTGTCAGAAGGTCAATTCTAAGAAATTAGATGGGGACTTTACTTCATTTGTCGCTGAAATTTTTTTAACAGATCGATGTCAACTATTACCCTATGTTTGGCGAATATTGGGGGAAAAGTACAACATTTCCTGTCTAAAAGTTGAATATAGGAGCTATAAAAACAAAAATACAAAAGTATTTTAGCACATGCATGCTCGTTGATCTATGAAAAAACTACGCCTAGTCCGGATCTGGCATTTTCGTCGCGTCGAATCCAAAAATCTTATATCTCATGAATAGTTATAACTATAAGCAGACTTCAAATGTGACTAATGTTAACTATAATCCATTCGAGGAATGGAAGAAGTCTATTATAGATATATAATAATAAATCATTCAATTAATAGGGCAGGTACCAACTATATCGTACAGTACGACTTGGTTGCTGGAAAAGTAACCAGACAAGCATGTCCTAATGGGAATATAAAGTCACGAAACTATTCCTACCAATGGGGAGGCTACACGACTGTGGATCTATCCGTTGACGAAAGCGGTTTATGGGTTTTGTGGGCTTATAGTGGTTATAGTGGCAAGTTGTGTGCAACACAGATAGACCCATTGACACTCGCTTCATTGCATCAATACTGTGGAATTTCATCTGAGGCTAAAACCTCGATGGGAAACGCATTTGTAGCGTGTGGGGTTGTCTACAGCATAGATAGCTATAGCGGAAGCACAACCATAAACTATGCATATGACACAGTGACCGGCTCCAGAACCAATCCTGCTATTAAGTTCAAGAACAAATTTGGATACAACAGCATGGTTACCTACAATCCACGGGAGAAAGTCCTCTATGCCTGGGATAATAGACGTCAAATAACATATCCACTGGAGTTTGAAGACTGAAGAAGTTAAAAATAATAAAAATCAAGTTGATGAAACAGATACGATTATGGACATGATTAAGGACGACTCGTTTTTTTTTAACAAAGCATAAGTTGATAAGATTAATACATCTATTACAAGTGGCCATTAGTAGAATTCTGTACTTCGTAGAGCGTAGAACAGGGGAATCATGTAGTACCTGTAACTGTTTATAAATACTAAACATGCTTTGTTTTTCATTAAAAATTTCAAAAAGTTGGCTTGCGTGGCTTAGCAGCTTCTTGTAGGTTTTTTATACATTCCATATTTCTATACCAATTTTTGATACCACGGAAAGTATTCTGATTTATATTGCAACAACTTCCAGTGGTAGTTAATTGTGAAATTTTTTTTGCTCAATAACCAAGTTTCCATCTAATGACACTAATAGGCTTGAAGTATCTCAGGATGATGTGAATCTCACTAATGTACGAGTCTATCTCAAGCAGCAAGCAGTTATATGTGAGCATTTATACATTTGAATGAGTACCAGTTAAACAGTACCGAGGAAAATCAGAAAAAAATGGTGAATTCGAAAATTTTAAGAAAAATTTTAAAATCTTGATTTTAAGAAAAGCATTCTGGTGAAAAGGAAGCTCAACTCTTTATAATATGACAAAGGCACTCTATACTTAATACTTCTAGCCAATTTTTCTAGCCTCGTTTTCGTCAATTCGTATTCGTATACCAGTCAATACTAGTATATTGGAGATCAGAGTCGTACGGTTCCATGCGTGGGGCCTGAACTCTACAATGTGGAAGCGAATAAAAAATATCAAGATGGCGTCGAAGACGGAGCGGAGTATTTTTGTTGATCCAAATGTCGTTCATACATCAATCCCTGATGCGATCTTGGAGGATCTATGCAGGTAGAACATTAGTTACATCACCTTTTATTGATTCCTTCAGGTTTTCTGATTTATATGGGTCATGTAAAAGAAAAATTGCCGTCGAAATTTCAGATGTCACACTTTGAGTCTAATAGACTCACTGTCGCACTTTCAAAATGTTTTCGGGTTTCCAAAGTGGTCAAAATTTGCGCGTGATGTTTTCAAATTAATGTTTTATATTGTAGAATGATTCTTTAATGTATATCTTATGTTATTCATAGCCGTTTCTTGATCAATTTGCCAGAAGAAGAGCAAAAAGATATGGTCAGAGTTTTCTTTCAAATTGAACAAGCTCATTGGTATTACATTGATTTTTATTGCCAAGAACAACTCCTGCCCACGTATGGATTGAAGGAATTCACTAAAATTAATATCCTTTTGAAACATATTGTTAAAGAATCAACCTTCCTTAAACAACTCAGCTCTTTCAGTTGACTAAGCTGTGTTAATAATACACAAGCATGAAATACGAAACCAGTGATACTTCTGAAATGGTTTGCATTTCGATCCAACGTTTGGACTTTCCTCTAGTCATTTTCCCGCAGTTATTTTCAGGAATTGATTACCAAACCTGTATCAAATGTGACTGCTCAATACTCATTCAACTGTATTTATTTTAAATTTTTAGTGATCTAATTCATTATTTGTTAAACAACTACAGCTGTGTTTAGGTTAGTTATAGGCAAACTAGTGCAATGCTGCATCCAATTCATGGTAGAAAAAACAGAATTTGTTTTCCTTAACACCTTTCACTCTTCGAAAAGTTTCCATTTCTCAACAAAGCTGGAGAAAGTATTGATAAACTCATGAGTATTTGGAAAAGATACAAATTCAGTGTTCCTGTCTATGGGGCTATTCTGTTGAATGCAGAGATGGATAAGGTTGGTTCTACTCCATTCAGTGGAAATACTCAGTGATTAAATTGCCATGAATTATTCTGAAGTTAGGTGGATTGAAATCAGGAATGTTTGTTTATTTTAGTGTGTTCTTGTCCAAGCTTACACAAGTAAATCGAGCTGGGGTTTCCCTCGAGGGAAACTAAACAAGGATGAGAGTCCACTGGAATGTTCAATCAGAGAGGTACATATTGTCAAATTATGGTGTTGTTCATTGTACCTGAACCATTGATCTATTGCCTGGTTTCCATTTAGTTGTGAGTGTTGTGAACATGTCAAAGTGTCTGACATGATAGAATATTTTTATGCAGTCAACAATGACCGATTTGAATACAAAAATAAATACAAATTTCCATCCGGACTATTTCTCATTGGTAAAAGACTTGTTCACAACAATTAGGACCATATGGAAACCAGGCTTATACGTAGCTGCAGTAGCTAGCTTGTTGGCAAATGGACATATAGATCTGAAGAATTTTTATAAATTCTCCAAATTAGACAAAGCGATTGCTTCTGTTATGTTTCTCCTTTTTTCTTTCCTTTTTCCTACCATAATTGTTTGGGGTTTAAAATAGTTGAACAATGTTGCTGCATGAATTACTACCCTCAAAATGACAGCTTTCTATGAAAGTCTGAGCAAGAACTTTCCAAAGTCCATAGCAATTGTCTTTGCCATTGAAAATTTTGTGTTTATGCATTGTTAATAACTTTCTCTGTTGTGGGTAGGTTTTAGAAGAAACTGGTTTCAATATTAAAGACTATGCTGACCCAGAGCAGTTTTTGGAGAACTCCCTTCATGATCATTTAGTAAGTCTTTACGATTATTCTAATTTAAGTTATCAAGTTGTTCTTTGACAGATGTTAGATCCTAAGTGTGTGGGAAGTGTAGTGGGAATACCCTTCTTAAAAGTCTAGTACACCCCAAAAAATTTCAGCATTTGACAAAAAGTCTGTATTATCAACATAAGATTTTGGTATTCTTTGTAGTTTTTGCGCTTGTGGTGAAATGCTGCACTGCTAAGGAGAATCTGCACCCCCCTCCCTTAACCCAATTTCCTCTCCCCCCCCCTTCCCATTTTAGATAAGCCTGACTCTAATAACAGTAAGCATTATTGCATACATTGAAAAAATTCCCCCAAGACTGAATTATGTATAACTAGAATGTTGATTGTAAATGCTCTCAATTGTTATCCTCAGGTGCGGTTGTATATTATTCCAAATGTTCCCATTGAAACCGAGTTTAAAACGAGGACACGAGGGGAGATAAAGGTACATATTCTTTAAAGTTTTAAAATTAGTTTTTAGCAATAATACACGGGAGGTTTGAACGGTAATTTCTCAGTAAATAGTTCAGTAAATATCAAAATAACGGATAGCAAAAGTCTTTGCTAAAGATGAATTAGCATTGAAGCGATCAAGAACGGTGTTAAAATGTTTCATTTAGTTGTCGAAATTTCGAATCACGTATAATTTAATGCTAATGTTAGTACATTTTCAGCTTGCTAAAAAGTAATAATACATGTCAATTTCGTTTCGTCGAAATAGGACATTCAGTGGTTCAGTGTTTACGATTTGCCGCTTCACAAGAAGGATTCTCGAATGAAGGAAAAAATCGGTCTTGCTGCGAACAATTTCTTTATGGTATTACCTTTTGTGAAGTAAGTTTCGTTTTACAAATGGCGTTCAAATCAATCAAATGTTCTTATGTTCTATTATGTTTTAGACTTCTCGCCTTTAGATCACGTGCACAATGATTGACGTGTACACGTTTCCCGCGTGTCTTGCTGACGCCACCACGCGTGTATTTTTATTTTTCGCGCCAATATTTTTTCAAAATGATATTACTTCTAAAATATATTGGTTGAGATATGATGAATTTCCATTCTGAAATCGTCGTATTCCTAATCTTACTACATGTCTTGTTAATTTTCTTAGGGATTTAAAAAAATGGATTACCGAAAAGCGAAGTTTGGCCGCACAAAAGCAACAAGCACTTTATTCTCAGCCGCAAAACCAGTTGCAACGAATGCTCCAGTCCGAGAACGCACGCTTGAGCAAGGAACACGAACAAGTCGAGAACGAAAAACGCAAACGCGAAGCCCATAGACGTTTCTTAAATCAAATGGACTTTTATCATCCGCTCAGAATGCAGGAGTATCAGAAAACGACAAAAAGTAAGTGAAGTTTTTATAAATGTGTTGTCAGAAAAATTTCCGGTGAATTTAAAGGCTCTGTAACTTTCGACTTGCAATGCATTTCTACTTGCAAGAGATGTGAATTAGATGTAAAAAATTACATCTATCAACAGTAGAGCAAAGCAGATCAAAAGTATTGCAAGTTTCATAGAAAATTGCAACGTATGAGTGTCAAAACAGGGCCTTCACTAGGCATAAAATGGATATATATCTATATCCATATACATGCTCGCATTATGAAAAAAAGGAGAACAGCTAAATCTGCTGCGGAACTTTAGTTAAACAGGTCTTAGAGTAAAATGCGCAACAGTGTTTGGGAACTACAGCTTCCCGTTAAGAATTTTTGCGCAGGAATTTTTGTCCCGTGTAAATGAATGCTCACAGGGAACAGAAAAATGCGTAGTGCTGTAATGCGGTTAAAATGGTATGCGGCCTTGGCTTTTTGAAATTGATTCACTGTAATTTAAATCTTCTTAATGCCTGTAAACTTTTAAGTTCAAAACGCAATGATTGGGTGGAACTAAAAATGGTGGCAATTGCGATTCAATTTTTAAACATGATAAACAATTTCTATTCCGTTTTAGCTAATTTCTACTGCATTTGGTAAACACCATACAAGCATTTAATTCATACAGTAAAATCGCAATTAAATCAAATTGCATTTCTTGCAAATCGTGCAGCCGTATATAATAGAAAGAGGCTGGAACTGCACGCCATTTTCTTTCAAAGATGGCGGCCAAGTTATCGTTCCAGTGCCTTATGTAGCTCATTTTTTTGTGCCAGCGAATTCGGGAGAGTTCCAGGTGAATGGAGAGTTATCAAATTTTGCTTTATTTTAGCCGTTTCCGGAAGCCCAGGCCGTAAACAGCCAAAACAACCCTCGGAACACGACCAGAAAAACGCAAACAAATCGTTTAAAATCCTTCAGAGAACCGAAACAGACCCACGGTCAGAACCAGGCCGCAGGAACAGTCCCGTGAACGCTCGGTCGCCATCTTTGATGACGTCATCTGGGATTCAAGAATCTCACCCGAGCTCCACGCGAAGCTTGTCGCCCTCGAGTAACTCCGCGTTCACGCGAGTTTCGCGAGCGAACGACACACGTCGTGCTAAACCGAAAAATAAACCAGTGAAAAGCATCATTTCCCCGATGGACATTTTAACTTTCACTGCTCCGGCATGGGCGAACTTCAGGTTTGATAAAAGCAAAGTTTTAGAGGCGTTTAGGACGTAATTTTTTTTTCTCTATACGACATTCGACCGCAAGTTTTTAAGGAAGGGCTGAATTTTTATCGTAAATTTGTAATATAAATTTTAAAGTTGGGTCTAGGTGATTATTTTATCGATAAAACTACTTATTTTGCAGTAATTTTAGATTTATTAACTTGCTAAACAATTAATCGTCGAACTAAATAACTTCCTAGTATAAAAATGTTTAATATTGGGAAACCTTGAAATCACTCTTATGCCAAAAAATCTGTCTGGTTTTATTTTCTTCATGTCATTTAATCATTGCAGTACTGCTAGTCTGACTGAACGCAGCTTGTTGCTACTAATACTAGCCTGACTAGTCTAGTACTTGCTTTGCAATGTTTTATTCAGTGTTTCTCTTTCAACCTCCCTCAATGTCAGTTGTTCATTGCAGTACTGCTAGTCTGACTGAGTGTTGACCGCTGTTACTAATACTAGCCTGACTAGTCTAGTACTTACTGCTTTGCAATGTTTTATTCAGTGTTTCTCTTTCAACCTTCCTCGCTGTCAGTTGATCATTGCAGAACTGTTAGTCTGACTGAGTGTTGACTGTTGCTACTAATACTAGCCTGACTAGTCTAGTACTTACTGCTTTGCAATGTTTTATTCAGTGTTTCTCTTTCAACCTCCCTCAATGTCAGTTGTTCATTGCAGTACTGCTAGTCTGACTGAGTGCTGACCGCTGTTACTAATACTAGCCTGACTAGTCTAGTACTTGTTTACAATGTTTTATTTAGTGTTTCTCTTTCAACCTTCCTCGCTGTCAGTTGATCATTGCAGTACTGCTATTCTGATTGAGTGCTGACCGCTGTTACTAATACTAGCCTGACTAGTCTAGTACTTATACTGCTTTGCAATGTTTTATTCAGTGTTTCTCTTTCAATCTCCCTCAATGTCATTTGATCATTGCAGTACTGCTAATCGAATCAGCTGCAGACACTTCTCGTTATTTTAGACTCCTCGTATATATAGGCAGGGATTAAGGCAAACTGGGAAAAAAACAAGTCGTGTCTAAATCACCTATTTTATTCAAGAAACTCTCAAAAAAGTTACAATATATAGTTATACGTATAATCTACGTTCTACCACGACCTGCTACATCTTAATATTGCATTTGTTTCTAAACTAATTCGTCACCAAAAAACCTTATCATACTTCCCCCTTATCATCCGATGATCTTGTATCCATGTTACTGCAAGACCTGGCACCACAAACTATAGTTCAAGTTAAAATTTTACGTATATCAAAGCTTTATACTTAATATCAAAATTACTCGTTAAAAATTCTTAAACCGTGGCAAGTATATAAAATATTATAGTTGAATTTATTTTATTTTTTATTAGTTTTGATTATTATGATCATTAAAAGCCACAAAAACGACCCAGTTGTTTGCACTTTCCACACAGCTCTTGAGGATGCTGTATTTGTCTGTCACCCACGTTCAATCCGTCTGGTTTATGCAATGGTCTTTGTGTATGAGCAAAAACCTCGCTTTTACAACTCTGGCATTGCTGTGGAGCGTTTTCCCAACTGTACGCGCTCATCCAACGTCGTCCACATTTGCACTTATACTCTCCAAAACGCCTTGTGTCTCTCCCCTGCAGAAATTTTTCACGATTTTGAAATGAAAATTTAGTTGTCGAAAGAAACCCGACTAGTTCCCCTCAGGGGCCTAAAGTCTTTTCCAAGCGAGCAAGCGAAAAATTGTGTGGTTTGTCACCTAGCTTACCAAGTGAAATTACCGAAACTATTTCCGGTTGATGGGCAGATGGCCTACTTCTAGGAATTCGGCTTCGAAGAATTAGACAATGTAAAAACGTCAACTGAATAACGAAAGTAATTTTTTCAATTTTATTCACGAAATATATGTTATGCTATCATTTCTAAGAAACAAATTTGAGGATCAATTTGAGGGAAATTTTTTTTCGACAAATGAGTAATGTTGTTATTATTAAATTCGTCGCGAATAAGAAATGTTTTTATATACGTGTTGCTTGTGGTGTGACCGCAAAAAATTTAATATTATGTCTTGGTAAGCTAGATATTTTAGGAGTATATTTTGATGAAGAATAAATCTAGCGAAAGCGTTTAAACTTTCTTCCTTAGTTAGCAGAGCCTATTTCGTATACAATATAAATTTTTATAAAGATGTTTCCGATATCTAATTACTCTGATATTTATATTTTCCAAAGCCTTTGGGAATACTGTCGTAAATATCGAATGAACGCATTACTATGTTACAAAACATCCCCCAAACTATCTTACCTGGTAGTATGACATTATTCGTAGATTAGAACTTTCCGTTCCTGTTTTCCTTTGAACGATAAGTTTTCGAGTATTCCACAGTCAATATACCCGACAGAACGAAAAGCAGGTGTCCTAACCTGACAACCTGACTTTTTATGATACTGCCCTACTTTTACCAAACCTGATTATCGCAAACCCTGATAAGTATAATCGAAGTCACCATAATTGCAAATTGATAATATGCTTGACCGCGGAGAACGTATGAGAATGAATTTTTTATTTCAATCCTGAACGGTAAGCATTGACCACCTTACAGTTATAATGCGATATACAACTAAAGAAAAACGACAGGAATATACCAGTTTGTCATTTCTCAAAAACAAAATCAACCTAACATTGCATAAGTATAGCTACGTACTCAAAATACATGCATGAGTTCACTGACTCCCTTATAATACCTCGTTCTAACAGAAAACGACCAAACGTTGTGAAAACTAATAGCGATTACCACAAAAACGGCCCAATTGCTTGCACTTGCCACAGAGCTCTTGTGGGTGATGTTTGGATTCATCGCTCACGTCCAGACCGTCTGGTTTTTCCAACGGCTTTTGCGTATGCGGAAAGACATTCCTTTTGCAATTTTGACATTGTTGTCCAGTGTTCTTCCAACTGTTTGCGCTCATCCACGAACGGCCACATTCATCGCAGAGATACTCTCCAAAACACCGTCTTTTACCTTGATACGGAGTGTGCTACGAGGCAAAGTTGAAATACAAACTCTTTAAGAGAGACTGAAGATATTTTTCTATGTCGCGTAATATATGCTCAATACCTATAGGTTATATCTGCATGCAACAGTACTATAATTTTTAACATTAAATACGTTTTACAAACCTTAAAAGCATCCAAAAAGGATGTCTACCGTTTCATTTAAAAACCGGGTTAAAATGAGGAGATTTCTCGATGTACGCCGAGAAGAAAATGACACTTGATTTAAGATATTTTGTATTCATTTCAGTGCAATATTGGCGTTGACATTTATAACGTTGTCCGTAGCTGCATTGTACATTTTAAAGTTAAACTCTTGTCGCTAGCTGTTTTGTGACCACTAAATACTGTTTATGAGAATGTGCGAAATGTTGCCTATGTTGGAGAACAAAGACGGGACACGTACTACAAAAATGATCCTAAAAAGTTAATACTGTCCACTGCATATAGTAAATGATATAATCATTGTGCGTAAACCATATACTAAACTATTTGCATGCCCGAGAGGCTGCATGTGTTTTGCATTACACGCGTGGTAAGTGTGCATGCCAAAATTGCCAATTCCAGGAACTCGATTTCCGGGAACTAAACAATGTGTTAATTGTGTTTATATACTCTGCCTTCCGTGTGTTAAAACGAAAGCACATTTTTATGCCGATTTCCTAGCAAAAACAATTGTTTATGATATCCGTTTCTCGCTCAAATATGTTATTTAAAACCATACAATTAATTTAAAAGTAAATCAAACCGACTTGAGCAAAGTTATATAAGAATTGTAGTACTTGTAATTTGCGACATTCCATGCAGCTCGGCAGATCTTGTTGCATTGTTTATCCCGGGCCAAATTTTTTACGAATTCTGAATAGTTTTTCAAACTTCCTTTTGGTAAGGTGGACACTACAGCACAGCCAAACATGCACAAACATGTTTAAAATTAGTTGTCTGAGGCTGAAGGCCAGAACTTTCAATTTGATAAGTATCGTTTTAGATGAAGACATCGACTTCCTATATGTCTACGATATTCTAGAATTATTTCGTTTCAAATTGTGTTGATTTCATTTTCTGTTAACTTAAATCCATCAATGAAAGATAATAGTCTAAGTTTTTTAAACAGACCGCTTTATTTCAGGATTTAGAAGCTCGCTCAGAACATAATAGCCTAGATGTTGTTTAGCAAATTGCACATATATAAAGATGTTATTCAAATAATTTTACCTGTCGAGATGACATTTCGTAAATTTTACGTCGAATCTCTCCTTCCTAGCTTTGAGACGGCAGGTTTTTAATGATTGTTTTGTTTGATTTAACTGCTCGAGACGACAGCAGCGGTATTTTTGTGTTTGTATATATTTGCCACAAGCCACAATAATTGCATTCGCAAACTGCATTGATTACAAGTGCTGACGGATGAGAGGCATGTAGCTTCCATAGGGTGGGGTCACAGATCAGTGGGTGGGGTCTTTGGGGGTCATGCTCCCGCGAAAACACTTTCAAATGTCGGCGATTTGAGATGCGCCGTTGACAGAATGGGAAAACTCCGCTGGCTTATACTAACCTCAAAGATTGAGAGAAACTATTTATCACTGCATACACAAACGTAACAGTCATGCGTGTAATGACTTATTTTATTTAAAGAACTTTCAGAAAGATACAATAATTATATAGTTATACGTAATCTACATTCTACCACCACCGTTTCATCTTAATATTGCATTTGTTTCTAAACTAATTCGTAGCTAAAAGACCTCATCCTACTTCCCTTTTCATCAAATGAACTCGCTCCACGTTTGCAATCCCTGGCAGGACAAACTCACGTTGAATTCATGTGAGTCTGGGTCATAAATCAATGTTCAGATAATAAATACGCGAACTTATTCCTTGAGATTAGATTAGCATAAAGATTAGATTAAATCCTAATCCAAACCTAATCCCAATGATTAAACTCGTGTAATTAGCATTTACAGAACATGCAATTAATACCCGAGTTTGTTTTTTATTTGTCATATATCCAATATCGTGTAATTATTTAATCCTAATGTGAACGAAACGTGACTAAATACTTGACACAAAGCGAGGTCATTGAATCAAAGTGGATAAAAAGATAAGATCTTCTGTTTCCGTTTACACGTTCTTGACTATAGTCATAATCGCTGAGTGCTTATCTTTGCACTTCGCTAGGAAAGCTTTTGTTATCTCTGGTGTTGAAGCACACAACGCCATGTAGAAACCTCGTCTTTTATGCCATTTGATAGTGATCTTGTGCTGATGCGAGTTAGCCTCGCTCGTCTCCATGGTAACATTGCCACCAGCTTTGACCATGCGCACTTGCTCTTCACTCAGAGTGACTTCGTGATTATGAATGGAGGTCTAATAGTGAAAATAATTGTGGATATTAGACAATTTTGGAATGTTCTTTTCAGCTGTACTGATGAAAATTCCTAATTTTAAATTTAGTTTAATAGGGGAATACTCCATTCATTCGGGTACTTCTCAGTCATCTCATTGTTCTCACATCTAATCGAACTCCTTTGAGAACTACGTTGAACAAAAAAAATACGCTTTTCAGATTTCGTTTCAGGTCGAATTTATTACCATTGTTGATTTCGATTGCCCGGTTCGTAAAACCACATCGGTGTTTTCCTCTGGCGAAGGTTTTGCGGTCCCACCTTCTTGCGCCGCCAATTTCTCGCGGAAGAGACGCGCATGCGTGCTAGACTCCATGAGGAAATCTCCAACGGCTTGTATCTCTTTCCAGGCAGTACCACCTTCAACGTGTATTGGCATAATGGGATACCTGTGGAGAATATTCACGGTTGAGATTTTTAAGATTGAAGTCGAATATCACATTTTTCCAGGGGGGAAAATTATATTTTATACTTCCAAGGAACGTTTCCACAAAATACTCTACTACCTTGTTCTAAGGATGCCAACTCCTGGTATATTTGGAAGGAATATTCGGGTACCGGATGCCCGGACCATGCGCACTTCCCCGTTCGGATCTAAGACCCCAACCGAGCCTTTCGTTGTGTCAGCGGCATCGACATGAGTTTCTGTGCCCGCGAAGAACTCATTCGGGGTGATGTAGTAGATTCTGCTGTTGACGCCATCGTAGGCTTTCGCTGACGTTTTCCCGCCATTACGACCGTTGGCCGTCACAGTCTTACCCAGGTCGCTGCGCTGATCTCCTTTGTAAACAAGCTTGTGTGGATTCCATTTGTTCAGCGGTGTGAGGTAGATTATCTCCAGCGGTATCGCGTACGACACTTTTTGTTCGTATTTTGTGCAAATTTTGTTTTTTCCCCTTCCTTTGCAAACGTTCAGTTTCATGCCTGAAAAAAATGAAGGGTGAGTTTTGACATTCGCTGCATGTATGAAGTTGAAAATTTTGTTTCATAAGTCATGGATAATAAAAGCACTTTATTTAATTATCCATGCGTACAACACACCAGAATGCGCTTCCCACAACAACAGAAGTCACATGAACAAATGATGAATATATCGGTTTGACTATAGACTATGCTCAATCTTTTGAACCTCCCAGCTACAACCAGGAACTGACTAGTGCACCACTGCCTTATACCTGCAACGCTGGGCTGTTTCGTCATCGCCACAAAGAGATTCGGGTCGGAAAATCCTCGATGTCGCGTCTGAACACCCATGGCTCCTTTCTCCATTACCTTGTACCAGCGGTGATAATACCCAGCATTCAACTTCTGCCCGTCTTTTTCCGGATCCATGGAATACGCTTCTTGGCCCAAGGCGCCGTCGACAATGTTCGCCGGGTAATTGTCCTTACCGGGGATTTGGCCCATGAGTTTATCGAGCAGACCAAATCGCCCCATGCTTTCCTTCCATGTACCTGTGTCTTTAGGGTTGACTTGAAACCGGGCTGCGCGGGTCTGTAGTTGTTCTTCGACCGTTCGCTTCCATGAAAGCCTGGATGCCAGGTCATCTACAATACGTAACCTGTATGCATAGATACAAAGATCTGGGAAACACAAGCATATACATTGATAATATAGCGTTATTGGTAAGGGCTCTATAACTTGTAAAGACACTGGATTTAGAATTATGTAGGAAATCTTTTACCTGTTCACTGGAAGATAATCTTTCAGAGGATGACATAAAATACGGTAATTCCACTGGGCAAAAACAGCCGTAGTTTCATTCACAGTTTCCATGATCGTTGTTGGAAGGTAGGCGAAATTCTCCAAGTTGTCTTTGCGTCCGGTGTAAGAGGTGAAGCGGATTTTCTCCTGAAGATCGAACCAGCTGCTTGCGTCAACAAAATGGCGATCGCTTTCAAAAGGCTCGTCAATATTTTTCGAATTCTTCGTCCACGTTCCCTCAAGGTAGCACAAAGCAGGTCTGAAGTACTTCCTGTAATCTCGTACACTGTGATCTTCATTTTTCCACGCCTAAAGAAATGTGAGAACTTCATTTTAAAGTCAGGTTTGAAGACCTTCTTTAGTCAATGGTAAAATACTGATCATTACTGCACCTCTGGGAAGAGCAGTTCAGATTTGATAGAGTTATACAGTAAAATGGAGTTTGTCAAGTTTACTGCTTCCTTTTTTTATCTTCTTCTGGGTCACAGGAATTCATTTAAGTTCAAAATATGTAGTCAATATTAATATTTTTACCTTGAACCATTCCACCATCTCCTTGACTTGTTCAGTGACGGATCCCTTTGATGTCACCTCCGGTGGGACATCTGGGAAGGGTAGATCCTCGGTTTTGTGAAATTCACTCGAATCATGGCTGGGCATGTACAGCCGGTAGTCATTATGCCGGGTACGAAACTCGACCCCGTTCAAAACCCCGATGAACTCGCCCATTCCCACCGTTCGAATGTTGTTCGAATGATCGTGAATTGCAACAATGCGTTTGCCAACGTGTGAGTTGTGGTGATAGGACTTGGTCCCTCCCACCCCATTTCGCGTCTGTTTAACGCCCGACTGCCCCTCCGACCGAAGACGTTCCTCGATGAAAAGTTGTTGCAACATCATCTGACGGGTCAAGGCTCCGAGTCGCGTGTTGAATTTTTTCGAGTCTTCTTTGGAGCTCTTCAATTCGTCGGCGAGAACATCGATTTCCAGTCGTAGGGCGGCGATATCTGCCGTCGCATCGTCGGAGGCATAGTTGATAAGCGACGCTGTGGTTAAGGTCAGGATCAATGCACACAGCAGCACAAGAATGCTGAGATTCATTGCTGTCGAAAGGCTGTACTAAATTTAAACGTACAGATGAATCACTAGACCCGGACGCGACTCGCATTAGAGACGGAACGACAAATTTGGAGTACGAATTTTCTTTCGTATGTTTAAGTTAAGTTAAGTTAACTCAAATCACTGATTTTAATTCGCAATGATTATAGAAGCATGCAATTTTATACCTCTCCTTATCAACTATTTTATGCGATATGTAACGTTTCAACTGTTCAGATGTTGGAAATGAAATAAGATGATAAACAAGCTTACTTAAATGCCATTCTTCTACCAAATAATTCATAATTGAAAAATGGACCAAAGTAAAACACATTTCAATACGGATATATTGCATAAGTACCTGAATTTTCCTTACCTAAAAGTAAATTTTTTCTCGTTCTCTTCAAAATAAGCTTGACTTTTACTCAAGGCCAGGTCAAACAATTCTGACCCAAATTTGTTCAGGGTTTGTTATATATCCATTGCGGCATTTTTACAAGCTAATTATTTCAATCTTTTAATTTCATTGACAATAACGACTTTAATTAGAATGCAATTATGTTTACAATGTTGCAATCTCTATGACAAAAGTGGCATATTTAAGACACAAATACTTCCTAAATTAAAAAATGATTTGTATTGTTTGGTTGTAGTTATGGAAATGTACGAAGCTGTAAGAAAGCATAGACCAGCTTGCCTGAATCACAGTTAGTTAATACTGAATCGATCTGTATAAGCAACGCGAGATCTCAAAGCGAATTTAAAATGATTATGCACATGCCGTTATTTGATTTAAACAAAGTTCATTTTGATAAATGTTATTTACATGAGACATTTATTCCATGACACTTTTGCTCTTTTTTAAATTTGCAAATACAATGCAACTGACATGGTGACACCGTAATACCTTTGTAACATAGTTGAGTTCTGTTTGCAATATGGCTTCCGTGATTACTAATTTGCCTTGTGAGAATATGGAAACGAAGGCTTGATTAATAACTTTGATTATTTATTATTTATTTGAACATCCTTTGAAACCAAAGTCAGCTAATTACACAAGACAGACATCTACAGGGTGAGTAAAAAAAACTGACACCTTTGAAATTCAAATTAGCTGCGAACTTATGGCTGAAATATGACAATTCCCATGTACAATCAACAAAAACGATTTGATAAAACTGTTCTTTTGTATTTACAGAGCTTAGAATGCATTTTAACTCCCAATGGGAACAAACTTTATGTTTTAGGTTAATTAATATGATATGCTTCGTATACCCATGAGATATTTTAGGCAACTTCTGTCACATTACAGCCGCTATGCGGCTAATTTGAATTTCAAAGGTGTCAGTTTTTTTTTACTCTCCCTGTATTGTGTTTGTGATATCCAACTATTTACATTTCCAATATTTTAATAATTATTTTATGCCAATTACATAACCTTAAATGTCACTTTTAAAGATCATCATATGATATGTTTTATTATATTCTTCAGAAACGATAAAGGGAACCTTTTTACTCTCAAATTCGATGTTATCAATTTTAAACTTTTGATTTTTAATGAAACACTATAAAAAATGTCGCCAACTGACAGTAAATGAGTGACTAACTCGCACAATACAACTTTCATCGTGGCTGACTATCAAAATTATAAACGTACTTGTTTACGCAAAATGTTGGGTAATGTTATAACAGCCGATGGAAATTCAGTATTTTTATCTTGAATTTTATCTGACATGCAACACAGCCTAAAAAGGCTTTAGCTTTGAGCGACAAAAATTGAGATTAAGATTTTTGAATATCGATATCGCTAGATATCAGTACTTGCATGAGTACTAAATTTCAAATATGCACAGTCCTTGCACTTGTATTTCTCTCTTTTTGTTGATATAATTAGAAATTTGAAGAAAAATAAAAATCTTGGTTTTCCAACTATTCGTTCAAATAAAATAATAATAGTATACAGTTTATCCGCTTTCATATTTATAATAAATCACTAATAATAATAAACAGCTTATGATTAGGGTTAACCCTGATCAACCATACACCTAATCTAACCTAATTCTTTAAGGATTAAAGTCGTGTGTGTAGGATTTACTGAACATGGATGGAATTATTACCCAAATTTGTTTTTCATTTATGCCCAATATCAGGTAATTTTTAAACCTTCTGTGCACCAACCCTGACCAAAAACATAAGACAAAGCGAGGTCATTGGATAAAAATTTGATAAACTATGAGGTCTCTCTATAGGCATCAAGAATCCATCAACGAAAGATTCTAGTCTAAATCTTTTAAACAGATCACTTTATTTCAGTATTTAGAAGTTCGCTCAGAACATGATACCCTAGATGTTTTTTGACAAATTGCACATATATAAGATGTTACAGCATTCAAAATCTCATCAGTCGCATCTTACCTGTCGAGATGACATTTCGTAAATTCAAGTTGAACCTTTCCTTTCTAATTTTGAGACGGCAGGTTTTTAATAATTGTTTTGATTGATTTATCTACTCGAAAGCAGCGGTATATCTTTGTGTTTTTATATATTTGCCGCGCACAAGCCACAATATAATTGATTTGCAAACTACATTGATGAGAGGCATGTAACTTCCATAAAACACTGCGGTTCAAATGTTGAGGTTTTGAGATGCGCCGTTGACAGAATGGGAAAATTATGTATATAGGCTTATACTAAACTCAAAGATTAAGAGAAACTTTTTGTCACTGCGTGCGCGGGCGTAACAGTCAGGCGTACAACTCGCGGACAAACAGACAAGTCGGCTTTTATTGACCTATTTTATTTAAGGAATTAACTTTCAGAAAGTTACAATTATACGTAATCTACATTCTACCATTCCATGTTAATATTGCATTTGTTTCTAAACTAATTCAAAGCTAAAAGACCTCATCCTATTTACCTTTTCATCTAATTATATCGCTCATGTTTGCAACTGCTGGCAGGACAAACTCACGTTGAATTTTTCTTATTTTCTGTGTCATGATTCAATGTTTAGTTAAGCTTAAATACATGAACTTATTCCTTGAGAGATTAGATTAGCATAAGGGTTTGGTTGTGGATTAAATTAAACCCTAATCCTAACCTAATCCCAAGGATTAAACTCGTGTATTTAGGAATTGCAGAACATGGACGTATTACCGGCGAATTTGTGTTTTATTTGTCCTATATCCAATATCGTGTAATTATTTGATCCTAATGTGAAAGAAACGTGACTAAATACTTGACACAAAGCTAGGTCATTGAATCAAGAAAGATAAAAACGATAAGGTCTTCTGTTTCCGTTTATACGTTCTGGACTACAGTCATAACCGCTAAGTGTTTATCAAAACACTTCGCCTTGAAGGGTTTTGTTATCTCTGGTGTTGAATCACACCACGCCATGTAGAAATGCTTTGTTTTTTTCCATTTGATAGTGATTGTGTGCTGATGATCTTCGAAGAGACTCGTTTCCATGGTAACTTCGCCTCCGGTTTTAAGCATGCTCACTTGCTCTGCACTCAGAGTGACTTCGTGATAATGAATGCCGCCCTTATATTGAAAATAATGGTAGATATTAGACACTAGTATACTCAATACTGCCTTCCCAAATAACAAATGGACCATTTCCCGATCAAAAAAAAATCCCGAGCTAAAAAAAATCGTCGGAATACTAGGAAATTTTCATCAATATAACTGTAAAGGACATCCCAAAATTGGTAAAATGGGACTGCTCGGCTGCGAAATCGTTTGAACTACGTTAACAAAAAATACGCTTTTCAGATTTCGTTTCAGGTCGAATTTATTACCAGTGTTGCTTTCCCGGTTCGTAAAACCACATCGGTGTTTTCCTCTGGCAAATATTTTGCGGTCGCACCTTCCTGCGCCGCCAATTTCTCACGGAAGAGGTGCGCATGCGTGCCAGACTGCATGACAAAATCTCCAACGGCTTGTATCTCTTTCCAGGCAGTAGAACCTTCTGCGTGTATTGGCATAATAGGATACCTGTGGAGAATATTCAAGGTGAAGTTAAATTTGCAGTCGAATATCACATTTTTTCGGGGGGGGGGTTTAAATTTTATGCACCCTCCTGTCCAAGGAACGTTTGCACAAAATACTCGACTACCTTGTTCTAAGTATACCAACTCCTGGAATATTTGGAAGGAATATTCGGGTACCGGATGCCCGGACCATGCGCACTTCCCCGTCCTGATCTAAGACCCCAACCGAGCCTTGCGTTGTGTCAGCGGCATCGACATGAGTTTCAGTGCCCTCGAAAAATTCGTTCGGGGTGATGTAGTATATTTTGCTGTTGATGCCATCGTAGGCCTTCAATGGCGTTTTTCCGCCATCACGTTTGTTGGCCGTCACAGTCTTACCCTCGTCGCTGCGCTGATCTCCTTTGTAGGAGAGATTGTATGGATTCCATCTGTTCAGCGGTGTGAGGTAGATTATCTCCAGCGGTATCGCGTACGACACTTTTTGCTCGTATTTTGTGCATATATTTTCATCTCCCTCTTCTTTGCAAACGTTCAGTTTCATGCCTGGAGAAAATGGATGGTGAGTTTTCACAGTCTAAACACGATTTTGATCAAAAGTGTGCGAATATATATTGTTCAACTATGTGACCCTTTTCCAACGCAAAAAGCACCATTTGAACTTCCCAGCTAAACCAGGGATTTAGCAAAAACTAAAGGCCCTGTTACACGGTGCAACTTTCCTTGCAACTTGCAATGCAATTCTTCTTTTGAGAGATGTATATTTGGGAACAACGAAACTTTTGTGTTTATTACACTTCATGCACTTGTCTTCTGCAAGACTCTTCACTAATTTACATCTCTTAGAAGTAGAATTGCATTGCAAGTTGCAAGAAAAATTGCACCGTGTAACAGGGCCTTAATTCGCAAGCTCGCTGCGAGTAATTTCGTTCAAACACATTTTCGACAGCTTATATTCTATTGGATGCAAACATGTACCGTCGCTGAGAGCTTGCGAGTTGATTTTCCGATGAGGTGGAAAAGAGCCTTTGTACCTGCGACGTTGGGCTGTTTTGTCATCGCCACAAAAAGATTCGGATCAGAAAACCCGCGATGTCGCGTCTGAACACCCATGGCTCCTTTTTCCTTTACCTTGTACCAGCGGTGATAATACCCAGCATTCAATATCTGGTCTTTTTTCTTGGGATCCAGCGAATACGCTACTTGGCCCAAGGCGTCGTCAACAATGTTCGCCGGGTAATTGTCCTTACCGGGGATCTGGCTCATGAGTTCATCGAGTAGGCCATATTGCCCTACACCATCCTTCCAGGTATCTTTGTCTTTAGGGTTGACTTGAAACCGGGCTGCGCGGGTCTGTAGTTGTTCTTCGACCGTGCGCTTCGATGCAAGCCTGGATGCCAGTTCGTCTACCATGCGTAACCTGTATGCATAGATACAAAGATCTGGGAAACACAAGCATATACATTGATAATACAACGTTATTGATAAGGGTTGATTTGTCAGAACAACGAGTTTCCATACCTTGTAAAAAGAGTGGACAGGATGTAGAATTCTGTAGGAAATCTCTTACCTGTTCACTGGAAGATAGTCTTTCAGAGGATGACATAAAATACGGTAATTCCACTGGGCAAAAACAGCCGTAGTTTCATCTACAGTTTCCATGATCGTTGTTGGAAGGTAGGCGAGATTCTCCGAGTTGTCTTTGCGTCCGTTGTAAGACGTGAAACGGATTTTCTCCTGAAGATCGAACCAGCTGCTTGCGTCAACAAAATGGCGGTCGCTTTCAAAAGGTTCGTCGATATTCTTCGAATTCTTCGTCCATGTTCCCTCAAGGTAGCACAAAACTGGTTTAAAGTACTTCCGGTAATCTCGTACACTGTGATCTTCATTTTTCCACGCCTAAAATTTTTTATCGAGAATTGAACGTGCAAATATAAGGACATTATCTCGTGGTGAAGCTCGAAGAACTGCTTTTGTCAGTGGTAAAATTCTGGCGAAAACATTAGTGAAATAATGCCGGTCGATAAGAGATGATCTTTAGCATTTAGGAAGAGGTGTTTAGACTTTAGTTTAGGTTTTCTCCTGCAATAAAACATTCGGTCAATAGGAGATGATCCTTACTGGACCTCAAAGAAAAACAATTTAGAACTATTAGAACTATCTAGTATAAGCTAAGTTAGTCTAGTTAAGGTTCTCCCCTGTAGTAACACTGGATCATAAGAGATGACCCTTACTAGGCCTCTAGAAGTAACAATTTAGCACTGTTAGAGCTACCAGGGTAAACACAGCCGGTTAGTTTAGTTCAGGTTTTCTCTGCAGTGAATTATGCACATAGCAAGAGATTATCTTAACTATATCTTTGAGCTTAAAACTCTAACTTTGTGAGTGGTGAAACTATCCAGTATCAAATGAAGTTTGGTACACTTTCTTTCTTTACCGTCTTCTTGATTTTAAGATACGTAAAACAATCTTTTTACCTTGAACCACTCCACCATCTCCTCGACTTGTTCTGCAATGACGGATTTATTTGTCACCTGGGACGGGACTTCTGGGAAGGGTAGATCTTCGGTTTTGTGAAATTCACTCGAATCACTGCTGGGCATGTACAGCCGGTAGTCATTATGCCGGGTACGAAACTCGACCCCGTTCAAAACCCCGATGAACTCACCCATTCCTACCGTTCGAATGTTATTCGAATGATCATGAATTGCAACAATTCTTCTGCCACCGTGTGAGTTGTGGTAATAGGACTTGGTTCCCCCTTTCCCATTTCGCGTCTGTTTAACGCCCGACTGCCCCTCCGACCGAAGACGTTCCTCGATGAAAAGTTGTTGCAACATCATCTGGCGGGTCAAGGCTCCAAGTCGCGTGTTCAATTTTTTCGAGTCTTCTTTGGAGCTCTTCAATTCGTTGGCGAGAGCTTCCATTTCCAGTCGTATGGAGGCGATATCTGCCGTCGCATCGTCGGAGAAATAGTTCATAAACGACGCTGTGGTTGAGGACAGGATCAATGCACACAGCAGCACAAGAATGCTGAGATTCATTGCTGTTGAAAGGCTGTAACAGAATTCAAACGCAAATGTAATCACTAAACCCGGACCCGACTCGGCTACGGAACTTAGCTTCGGAACGGGATCTAAAGAACTCAATTTAAATTACCGATTTCGATTCGCTACGGTTATAAAAGCTTGCAATTTAAAACTTAGTGTTGGAAATCTGCAGACAATTCAGATTTTCCGGAACGCTGGTCCAAAATCTCACACTCTGGGACTGTATATCATTTTACGTTTATTCACAATTAAGTACAACATACCTCCTTTGAACTGTCTAACCACGATACTATACTTCACGTTACTGCTAATAAACAACACTACGACTTTGACCTATATTTATAAGAACAAAACAGGATGCTTTCAAGGACTATCGGATGTTTTTCTGAAGTTTTACGTTTTAGGCTTACGTTACTGAGGATCTTAAGATACAAGAAATCAACAACGCGGAACTTGACATGAAATCAGCCAGTAGTTTTAAGAACCCAGTTTTAATTAGTTTTACCACAGTTAATGGAATATACATGGTTTGGAGACCACATAAAACTACAATACAACTCATAAACTATGTTGAGGTAGATTTATGCAAAAAATTGTTCCTTTTTCATCACGTGCCTATTGTATTTTACACAGGAAACCCAATAGGAATCTATATTGTTCAAGTCAAGGTTGAGGGGCTTAGCAAGACGAATGCCATTGGTACGTTTGGCTAAAATACAATAGACACGTGACGAGAAAGGAACCATTTTTTGCATAAACCTGCACAATAGCATACTTAATGAGTTGTATTGTACTCAGTTTATTTAGTCTCCAAACCATGTATATTTTGTTAACTGTGGTTTTACATACAGTCTGACCTTGCTTACCGAAAGGTCTCCATAATTTAAATCAATATTATAAGAATATATAGATTAATAATGAGTTAAATCAATATTATAAGAATATAAACTCTTAATATAGTAAATTCTAGAGGTTTGAAGGGTCTTAATATTGTACCTTCAGAATACAAAGAAAGAATTAATCACTACTAACGAAGTCAGCATATTACAACCTTGATAAAAATATCAACAACAGTTATAGAAAGAGAATAATTTAAAAAATAAACAATAATATCTTGATATATCTGTAAATCATTGCTGGTACGTTATAATTTGATATGTTAAAAATTACCTGTTTCGTGATACCATAAAACTTTATTCAGTGAGGATTACAATGTTACCAAGAGGTATCCTCAATAAGTAATGTAAAAGATCTTATTAAGAATTACAACGAATTTGCATGAGCTACTTGCATATACAATACATTTAAATTTATTATTATGGTCTAAGTCATAGTTTAATTAAAGAAAAAGGTTTTGAACTTTTTTTTATGAGAGTTAGTGAATAATTATCAATGATTTTTAACTGGGAAGGTAAATAATTAAATAGGCTTGCACCAATATGGGACTGATATTTTGGATTTAGCTTGCTCGGTCTTGACTAAAGGAACCTTAAAGTGTGTCGTTGTCGATCTAGTTTGAATTGGGCAAGAGTCGAGAACGTAAACAAACACCTTTCGCAGATCCGGTGGCCAAGATATTTTTTAAGTGTTGAGTACCATCATAATTTTCTCATTTTTATCAGACCGAAAATATAAGTATAGGTTGGCGGGAAAGCAATATTGACGAGGGTACTTTGCGGTTGGCCATGCAAGAATTAGCTTCGAGAAATTTTATGAATTCTTTGTTTGCAAGTGGGTTGAAGGTGACTATGTATGCGTTTCAACAGACAGAGTCTGGAGTTTTATTGTAGATAGTGTGAATTTGTCTTTCAGTTTCCAATTTCAAATATTGATCAAATGTGACTCCGAGTAGGATAGCGGAAGTAATCTCCACGATAATATTGTTAGTGATCTCAATAGTTAATGGGTCAAGGTCTGGAAATTTGGGTTGGGAATATATTTTTATAAATTTAATGCAACACGTTGAAACTGTAAAACCTTTTTATTAATGATTTATTTAAACATCCTTTGAAACCAAAGTCAGCTAATTAAACAAGACATACATCTATTGTGTTTGTGATATCCAACTATTTATATTTCCAATCTTTTAATAATTATTTTATGCCAATTAGATAACTTTAATTATTATATACCACTTGTCAAATTCTGGTGTTCGTTGCATTTCATTGGTCGAGAGCAAATCACGCGAGAGTGACGAAATTTTGATGTCGCCAGCGCGACACCTATTTACCGAGAACTTAGAAAACATTATATTTTGTGGACCCTCGACCATCGATATTATAAATTATCTTGTAGGTACACCACGTAAGTATTTAATACTGCAAAGCTTTCGGTTTGTTAACCCGGGCATTCTTTAGTACCATTGAACATAGTAACAACTAGGTCTAGAAACAAAATGAGGATTACACTGTTACCAAGAGGTAATATAGAAGATCTTATTAGGAATTACAACGAATTTGCACGAGCTGCTTGCATATACAATGCAGTTAAACTGATTTCATAGTTTAATTGAAGAAAAAGGTTTTGAACCTTTTTTATAAAAGTAAAGAGTTAGTGAATAATTATCAATGATTTTTAACTTGGAAGGTAAAGAATTAAATAGGCTTACACCAATATGGGACTGATATTTTGGATTTAGCTTTCTTGGTCATAAATAAAGAGATCTTTAAGTCTGTCGTAGTCGATCTAGTTTGAATTGGATGAGACTCGAGAACGTATGAACAAACAACTTTCGTAGATCCGGTGGCCAAGATGTTTTTAAAGTGTTGAATACCACCATAATTTTCTCATTTTGATCAGATTGGCTACTAGAAGGTGACTACGTATGCGTTTCAACAGACAGAGTCTGGAGTTTTTTTGTAGATAGTGTGAATTTGTCTCTCAGTCTCCAATTTCAAATATTGGTCAAATGTGACTCCAAGTAGGATAGCGGAAGTAATCTCCATGATATTGTTAGCGATCTCAATATAGTTAATTGGTCAAGGTCTGGAAATTCGGGTTGGGAATATGTTTTTATAAATTTAAATTACAATACTTTTACAATTAAGAGACATTTTGTTGTGGTTGGTCCAACACTGATCTTGAAGACACGCCTGACTTTGGACAGACACTAAGTTATGATAGTATACAGTTTATTCCCTTTCAATATTTTTAATAAATCACTAATAATAATAAACAGCTTGTATATAAAATATCGTCTTTGGTAACAACCGAAGAACAAAGCACACATGAATTTTTTTTTCTGGTTAAGGACAATTCGCAACTAAAAGACCTCGTCGTATTTTTCCTTTTATTCCAGTGATCTCATTTCAATGTTAGACCTGGTACGACAACGGACAACCTTAGTTGAAAGTTGTCTTTACTCATTTCTGCTCCCATTTAAGTAATAACTCTAATGTAATGTCCAACCACGATAGTTGACGCTACAATTCACGTCTAATACACGATGCTATGACTTTAACCTATATTAACAAAATGGGATACTTTATTAATCGATGATGCATTTCCTTGACGCATTTCGTACAGGACTAATTGGGTTTTCTGTCGTTTTATACGCACCCTAGATGCAATTAAACTGCATTCGTGTCCGTTTACGTTATTTGGGACCTTACGATGCACAAATTCTTCGATGCGTACGTGACATGAAAAAAATACATACACCTCTGATTTTGTTTGCCAAATGGTGTCCATAATTTAAATCAATATTATAAAAGAAGACTAAATAGATTAATATTAATTAAATCAATATTTTAAGAATAAAAACTCTTATAATACATTCAAATGCGACTTAAATAAGTAACCTATAAATTTATTTAGCTTAATGACAAAGTATCTATTCACAATCTATTCTATTCACATGTAAATAACTCTTGTACTTGTAGTTACGTTGATTTTTTTCTTTTTCATGTAGCTACTTATTTACTCTTAACCATTTTTAACCAACGTTTTTTATTAGAGTTAGTGAATAATTATCAATGATTTGTAACTCATGCAGAAGGTAAAGAACTGAATGGACTTGTGCCACTATAGGATATTTTAGATTTAACTCTCCTAACGAAGGCCCTCAGGTCGAAACATCGAGAAGTGTTGTCTATTCTAGGCAGTTGCTATAAGAAAAGACCCTGGATACGAGGTTGTTGTTATACCACATTTGATGCTAAGCTATTTTAGATTTAGCTTGCTCGGTCTTAACTAAAGGAACCTTTCAACCTCGTACCCAGAGTCTTGGTACGAGGTTAGGAACCTTTAAGGCCGTGGTTATCGATCAAGTTTGAATTGGATGAGAGTCGCGAACGTAAACAAACGACTTTCGTAGATCTGGTGGCCAAGATGTTTTTAAAGTGTTGAATACCATAAGAATTTTTCTCTTTTTATTCAGAAGATATAGCTATAGGTATCCTATTAAGTTGATGGAAAAGTTATATTGAGGGTATACTTCGCGGTTGGCCATTCAAGAATTAGTCTCAAGGAGCAGCACCTTTCTGTAGTTTTAGTAGTCATTTTATGAATTCTTTGTTTGCATTTCCCAGAGTGTGCAAGAGTATATAGTAGATGCGGGTAGATTATTGCAGAATAAAACTGAAAATGAATACGGCATTGAAAAGTAAGGTGACTATGTATGCGTTTTAACAGATAAAGTCTGGAGTTTATTGTAAATAGTGTGAATTTGCCTCTCTATTTCAAATATTGGTCAAATGTGACTCCAAGTAGGATAGCGGAAGTAATCTCCATGATAATATTGTTAGTGATATCAATAGTTATCGGGTCAATGTTTGGAAATTTGGGTTAGGAATATATTTTTATAATTCTAAGTATTTTTAGAATTAAAAGACATTTTGTTGTGGTTGGTCCAAAACTGATCATAAAGTCACGTCCAACCTTGGGCAGACACTATAAGCTCGCGGATATTAGTTCCGGGAGGGATTAGGTAGAGTCATTTGCGAACAAGAACGACTTGAACTTACTGACGTAATAAAAACAAGAAAGATATAGTTGGACCCAGAATAGAGGCAGAATAGATCCTTGAGGCACGCAAAATACAATACAATGCAACACGGCTAAGCTGTAAAACCTTTGTGACAGTTCTATAGCTAATTTGCCTTATGGAAAGATGAAAACGAAGACTTGATTAATAAATTTGATTATTTATTATTTATTTAAACATCTTTTGAAACTAAAGTCAGCTAATTACACAAGACAGACATCTATTGTGTGTGTGTCCAACTATTTACATTTCCAATCTTTTAATAATTATTTTATGCCAATTAGATAACTTTAGTTTAAATGCCATTTTTAAAGTTCATCATATATATGTATTTTATTATTATTATGATTATTATTATTATTGAAAACATATTTTCAGAGGATGTAACAATTCAGGATGTATACTGCCAGTGGCGGCGCCAAGGGGGGGCAAGGGGGGGCAAATGCCCCCCCATATTTTTTTCTGCCCCCCCATTTTGCCCCCCCTTTCTCAAATGTCTGCGGAAATTATTGCCGTAAAAGATAATATTTAATAGTAATAAATTGAAATACAAAATAGCTACAGGATAAAATGGGCGTGACTGTCAATTGTTGACACATCGTAATCTATTACACACCGGTTTATGGATTTCTGTTTGAAGGATTTTGCCCCCCCAAAATATTAATTTGCCCCTCAAATGCCCCCCCAAATTTTCAGACCTGGCGCCGCCACTGTATACTGCTAATCAATCGTTCCGTCTTGATTGGCATCAACTTTACTTTTTTTCAACTCACTTTCCGACTGAAATATGTTGCACGTATCCAGGTAACTTCCCGAGTTGTAGTGGCAGGAAACTACGACGAAACCAGCCTGTTTCAACATAACTTCGACTTCTGATTTTTTCACACAATATTCTGGGACAGGAAGCTTCTCGATTCCTTCAACGAGAAAGTCCTCAAGCGCAGTTGATAGAATTTCACTCTGTTCCTCGACGCTCTGAATAGCGATTCTTATTCCAGGCTTGAGAACTCTGAACGCTGTTTCGATGAAAATTTCTTTATCCTTTGGATGCAACCACTGGAAGACGAAATTACTGAAGTGTATGTCATAATACGCTTGGTTATGATGAGGAAATTTGCTGGAGCTTTGGCCATGTATAAACCTGAGATTTTCTCTGCGGTTTTTATTCATGGCAATATTTATTCTATCCAATAAAGGATCCACTCCAACGATCTCGCTATTAGCACCTAGCATGTCTGCAATACATGCGGTTAGTCATCCGATTCAGTGAAAAGATAGCATTATACGAGCCTTATACTTTATTTTGCAACTTTATTTTACGATACACCAAAAATACAAAAGCTAGGATACAGTGCAAACTAATCTAATATGACGAGACTTTCGCGGTTGAATCTCGATGTAAATGGTTGGTTACATGCATCGTAATTGTTTAGAAGTTACAGTGCCACCTGGAACAATAATAAAATCATACTAAAGTTATCAACGGTACCGGTTTCCACAAAATCTACCCAGCTCTTTGCACTTGCCACAAAGTTCTTTAGGATGCTGTACACTAGGGTCGCCCACGTCCAAACCTTCTGGTGCATTTAAAGGTCTTTGCGTGTGTGGAAAGACTTCGTTGTCGCATTTCTGGCATTTTTGCGAAGTGTTTTCCCAACTGTACGCACTCATCCAGTGACGGCCACATTCGCACTCATACTCTCCAAAATATCTTTTCTCTTTTTTCTGTATGATAGGAGTTTTTTCAAGAAATGTTTTAGTTTGATATCATGAAAATGTTACAGTTTCAAATATAGCTAGCATGCATAGGAAGCATTTTGCAAATTTTTAAATATCATGTATCAAATTTTTAAATATCATGTATCAAATTTTTAAATATCATCAAGCCCTTTTAACCACTGGAAATATATATTTCCATCATGAACTATATATGGCTTTTTAGCGCTCGTAATTTAAACATTGTTGCATAGGCAAATTAATTGTTTTTTTGTTCAGTAAGAATCTGTCTTGAAAGCCGAATATGACATTGCAGACAATGGTGTCAGTGCATTATTTATACCTGCATGCTATGTATAAAAACGAAGTTTCATTAGAATCGCTTTTAATTTTACAGTACAATGAAATAAATATAGCTTATATATAATATATATAAATCCTCCATACATCCTCCATGAAGCCGTATATCATAGATCCCACTTCCCGGAAATTAAACTTTATATACACACATTTCAAATGTAATCCGTGTTATAAATTATGGAAATATTTGGAACAATTCTGGTTCAGTTCTACTCTTTTTGTCAAATAAATTACATTGATAAACGGCATCCATGAAGCCGGAAGCGTGCACGCTATGCATCACCAGTATATATTAGATTCCTTCAGTTTGAATGTGTATTTAAATATTGACTACATCAGGAAACCTGTTGAAAATTTCGATCAAATTGCGACAGCTTTATTAGAATCGGACAAACAAATTCCTAAAAATCTCATCGCACCTGTCGATATGACCTTTTCATGTACTTCGGCATTTCGCTGCTCTCCGCTGGGTCGCTTATTTTCTTCTTGTCTCTAGAAACGATGCTTCGGTCTAGTGGATGTTTGTTTGCAGTCGTAACTACGACACACTACCTGTCAACCTCGTACCATGGTCAAGGCTGGTCACGTGTCACGCATATTTTGCGTGATAAATTTAAAGTCTTATCTGGGAGTGGTGGCATACGAGTTGTATTGATCCGTTTTGAAAATTGAAATTTAGATTGGTCATTGTTTCGTTTTGATTATACAGAACTCGCAAAAGTTTGGATTTCTTCTTCGCCACTATGAACTTAATAAATCTTGGATTGAAATTAAATACATCCTGATCCTGTTGTGAGACGCATCACACATGCAGTAATATTTTAAATTACACAAGTAAAAAATTCTGGTCAAATTTCACTCATTCGATCTCAAGTCTCGACCGCCGCAACGGCTAGCACACCGAATGACTGGGAATCGACAGCTATTTCACGTTGCAGACGTTGTAACTGTGTCGCTGATCCAGGGCACGGTAAAAATCTCGTTCGTCAAAAGAATAAGACCATTTTACGAAACGCGGAGTTCGTTTATGCAGGCAACGAGTTGCGACAGACTCACAGACACAGTGCAATTTTCTTGCAACTTGCAATGCAATTCTACTTTTCGAAGATCTAAATTTGGCAAATACAAAACTTGTGTTTATGTCACCAGAGAATAGGCAAACCGTGCAACACGCATGCGAAGACTGGAAACTAAAAAGAAGCAATATTGCCAACATGGCGGTGACGATGTACGCGTTTCTTGAAGCAATTTTACTTCTTGTCAACGCCGTTGCCGTCCTTAACGAGGAAAGATTCCTAGCTAAAAGTAAGTTAGATTATTTTACGACACACCAATTACTAATCACAATATTTCGTGTATTTTTCTCTAGCATTTGCATGGGTTGAAAATTTGATTCATATTTCATAATGAATTCATTGTTTTCATTCGTCTCTCCTGCGATTTCCTGTAATGCAATTATATGTCGTCTAAATACAGTTTAATGCATCAATTAGGTTTATATTCAAATGAATATTCCTCAGTAACAGTAGTCTTGTCTGTTTATCCTAATAATTGTGGGGTGATTGACTGATTCAGTCTGATTGTTGCAATTTTACTTGTTACAATTTCCCTTGTAAACCTCAAAAAGCCATCAGAGTGAATTTAAGGGTGTATGGTAGTCTGGTGGATGAATAGGTACAAGTGCTTGAACACCAAAGTGGAAAATACAAACCAGGAATCAAGAATTAAACCTCAGTCATTTTACTCATTATTTTATTTATTAATACAAAAGATAAATTGATAAAATCATACATATTAGTTTTCATGAGAAAGTCCTATACATCAATTTAGAAGCTAGTAATCACATCAATAAATCTTTGTGATAAAGTCTTTGATCAGTCAATTTAAGTCTGACTAGGACTAATGTTGTTCATCCATTTGTTACGTTTGTTGTGTAGGCAAATAGCCAATAGCAACAAACATAATCCACAATGGTTAGTGTTGATGTAGGTACATTACTAGCTAGCTAGCTAATGGATGGCATAATCAAGGTAACTAACCCGTGTTTTTAAACAGTTGGCTGGGGGCGAGACCAGATCAATCAACCTCAGGGTTTTGGACATGAAGAAAAAGGTGTAAAACAACAAATTGCTAACCTAATCCACGCCGTAAGAACAGTCATGAGAGGTAGGAAGCAAAGATAAATTGATTCAAAAGAAAGGAATTTTCAAAAATCAAAATGTTCAAAGTAATTGAAAAGAACATTATTTTTTTTAGTCCCTCTGATATTCCTGAATGCTTTTGCAATTGTTATGGAATTGTTAATGGGTTAGGAAACAATCTGGCTGTCAATGTTCAGTATGAATTTGCGGAAAGTGGGAAATGTACAGTTATTGATAAAAAACTATAGTAATATTTTAAATAAATTCATTAAATACATTCGCAGAATTGTTGAGCTTTATAAATACTCCTAATTCAATCATTGACTTATTTTGTCAACAATTTTAAACACAATAGTGTATAAATTTGATTGTTGGTCTTATAACTGGAACTTTTTTGAAGCCACATAGTTGAATGACCCCTTCCTGGTAAACACATCACTTGACTCCCACTATAGACATTATCTACAAAAAAAACATTTGATTTATTTTGTACAATCATGAGAGGTATGAAGCAAAGATAAATTGATTTAAAAGAAATTAATTTTCAAAAATCGAAATGTTCAAAGTAATAGAAAAGAACATTATTTTTTTAGTCCCTCTGATATTCCTGAATGCTTTTGCAATTGTTATGGAATTGTTAATGGCTAGGAAACAATGAGCAGTGTTGCCATAAGCAACTCTATTTGCACAGTTAAATGGAGTGTGATATTGTTCAAAGCCAGACAATTTTACTTTCCAAGATAACATGTTATATGGCAGTAGTTTCCAAATTGAATGGAAAACTAAAATATACAATAATAAAACCAATATTAGTCATACCTTTTCATAAACTGTCCAGGACATTGCTGATATCAATGTTCTTCTTAATGCTCGTGGAACAAAACCTTTAAAAAATCCCTGCAAACCATTGTTCTGAAATGGTGTGATGAAATACTATATTAACCTTTTGATCATCCATATCACTACATCACATTCAAAGTCTATTACCTTGAAAATATTTTTGATTATAGCAGTAATCTTATAAGGTTCCGAGCTTGCTTGTATCAATGTTTTAACAACATCTGCAGGGTGAGTGAGAAGGGATGCAAATATCCCTGATGTTAGTCCACATATTGCAATGGATGGGGAGCTCAGCTTTTCTTTTCCAAGACCTAAAAAGATCACTTATTAGTACAATAAACGTACAGCAACTTTGTTTAGTTGAGTCATGGTTGAAATATCGCTGGTATTGATTTCTCACTTTGTTTGACAATTTCTTTGATGCGACCATAAAACATCAAATAGGCACCAGAAAATGGGGCGTCGCGTATAATTGTTGTAAAACTTCCACGGTATAAACCTAGGGTGCAGTAAAAGGTAAATTACTTTCAAAATATTGATTCAACATACATCAAATGTTCCCATTTAAATAGCAACAATAACATTTTAGTTTTAAACACCCACTACTATGTAGACATACATTGTAGTTTCATGCACATATAGTTCATACCTCGAACACCTTCGGTTGACCAAATGTAAGTAAATGCTTTTGGGACTGTCTTGTAATGGTATTTACCACTCTGTAAGATTTGGTAATAGTTTTAAGTTTATGTTAGTTCAAAGTGTAATAATATTACAATAATATTACGAGCACCTTGTTTGGATTGTTTATTGGTAGATCAAATATAATTTGTGAGAAAAGGAATCAGATTTGTTGAAAGCAGTACCTCAAATCTTATTTTGATAACATTGATTGGCATAAGACAAAGCACAACAAAACCTCTTGCAGATGCACCCAATGCAAATCTTTTCACACTACTTGGTTTCTCTCTAATGATACATCAAAATAAATTGGTACTAAATTGGAGGGTATTGGTGTTGGAGAGATGTTTGTAATTGAGAGAGGTGTAAAATTATGAATGGAGTATTGCTCAGGGAAGTAATAAAATTTGAGAGAAAGGGTGTCTGTATTAAAGAGCCAAGCTTACTATGTTCAAGATATAGGTATGTTCTAATTAGAGATGGGGGTCAAAGAGAGAGCTAGCTGTTTCACATTGGAACTGGACATATTCTAGAAAGGAGCATCTGAGCAGTAGTGTCAGTATATATTAGAGATACTAATTTGAGTATGAATAGCATGAGCCCCTGTCATACCATACCATACCTGAGTCTCCCATCAAGCAGATGTAGACAACCGTAATATAATCCAACTCCAGGAACTGTACGATAGAGTGACTATGCATAGGAAAGCACAAACGATTTTTTAACAATCTAGAAAAGAATTCTAATCGCACAAACCATTAGGGTCAATTCCCAAGTGGTTTTGTGACAGGTAGCATATACACTTTGACATTTTGAAGCAGCATTTTGCTGTAATTAATTGTTGACATCCTTGTATTTTCAGTTAGCCTATGTAAGTACATTATGCCTAAAGGTATGCCCACTCAAACACTACCTGTCATATTGGATGAATTCAACATATGTTAAATAATTACAGAAATTGGATTGTGTTTCAAAATATTCAAGTTTACATGCAGTTTTCTAAAACAGATTGATTTAAGAGTTTGGCCAATCAGGAGATTGTGAGTACAACATACTGGTATAGTTCCCTTCCATAACCCAATGACTTTTTCATTTTTTAAAACTTCCTTGAATGTTTCCCTCAAAACGTCATGCCTGAAAAGACAGGTTGATGACGTGAGTAGCTGACTATATGCAGAGCATTTTGCTACTGGAAGTTACCGAGATAAGGTATCATTGTCTGGATACCAAATTTACCAGAACACCAAGTTTACCTGTTACGTGAATCGATTTGTATTCTAGTTTTGAGGAGGTCGAGAGGTTGCAGTAGTAATGTGGATGTTGTTCCACTAAATGATCCACTGATTATAGCTGTTGAGACATTCTGACAAATATATCAAAATAAATAAGTTTAATAAGGTGTAGCAGGTGTAAAGTATATTTAAAATACTGGTACCAAGGTTGTCACTTGTCAGAAAACTACACATGGTATTGCTAGACACATTTCAAGTCAATCATTGGTTTAACGAAATAAATAACAAAAGACATTGAGAGGTTCATGCTGACTGTCATTTGCATAATTTCCGCAATAAACTCCAAAGTACTCACCCTAGCTCTTTTTTCACTCATTCCAAAACTCCATTCACTTATTCATCACCCAGCGGACGGCTTGATTTCATACAGTATTAAAACACATTAAAACCTAATAACACTATCATTTATTTGCAAATTTGATTTGCAATTCGCAAGCCATATTGTCAATATTTCATTCTTTCATTTATTCGCCATCCATTTTTTTTCCCACCGAATTTCAAACATTGCGAATAGTAGCCGAAGTTGTACCGAGTAGGCTACGATTAGTGTCGGATTTGATTAGGCTATTTCATCCATCCAGTTAAATTTACGGGTCAGTGAATGACGAATCAGGAACCGAAGTTAACCCGAGTGTGTTCCGAGAGATATATTCGGAAATTAACTTGACGAACTTGACGTACATTGCAGCATTCGAGTTTATTAATTTTCCTTGAAAAACGGCATTATCGACATTAAAGTATCTTGTTGTTTAGGGAATTCTTAGGAAAACTAAGGAATTTTGTTATCCTTGCAAAGGAATGATCGATGACTAATGAGAAATGAGTTCCTTTTCAGCTCAAAACACCAAAGATTATCGTGAATAACGACACGTTAGAGTTAATTTTTACACCTTTTCTGAAACGATTTCAAGGATTTGAGTTGATGAAATAAAGCTTACTTTATTTATAAGAGGGAACACAAAAAGAAACCAGTGAATTTCCTTGTGTAAAACGTCTGAATCGTCGATCGTACTTTGTACAGAAGACAGAACTTGATGTATTATTGATCTATTTTTGACAGCTGTTTATGCAAATCTCTGAGATCATTTGAATCTTGATCAGCATAGTGGAAAAACAGTCTAAACAACAACATTTCGTTTTTTAAAAATGTTGTTAAAACTATATTTGTGTGTTGTTGCAACATTATTTGGCAACTTTTGTATGATTCTGGGTGACATTGAAAAAATCTCGCTGCATATGCCTGGCGTTACACCTAAAAAGGTACGTTGTTTTTTTATAAATACATTATGAAATTGTGAATATAATGCTGTAACAGCGTGTTGTCATGTTGATCGCATGATTTTGTGGTAAAATCGTCGAACTATAACTCTATACCAAGTTTTCTCACTTTTCTGAGAATACTCTTTGTTTGCAAAGAGCATTCTTATGTGCACTGTACACTGTAATTAACGTCCTTTATCGATTTCAAAGCAGTGAGCTGTTTCTTGTAAACAATATTAGGTTAATTTTGTTTATATCCAACAGCTAGCTGTCAATAAGTGAGTTGTGATAGCAGAAATGATCATTCATTTGTGACAGCAGAAATGTCGTTCGGCTCGTTCCACAATGTGGGATATATATAACCATTAGTCTGATAATGGCCTGGTTTATGCTTCATATTACAGATAGAGCTAGATCATCTGTCTGGATTGACAAACTTGTGCATTGTTAGGATAGTTGGTTTCATTTGACTTCATAATGAGACAAACTGCCTTGTCTTAATTTGCTGAAGCTCCAGATGGACGATCTGCCTTTGGTATATAAATCAGGCTATAAATTCAGACGATCAGTTATTCAATATAAAAAATATGGAGCAAATTTATCATTCCAGAGGCCAGATGTTCAAAAGCGGCTTATCTAAATTTGGGTTAATTCAAATCTTCATATAAATCTTTCCAATTTCTTATCTATAAACATGAAATAAATACACATTTGCAGAATCCCTTCTCGTTTCTTCTGGTTTGATAGAATTTTTTTTAAGTTTTGAAATGAATAGCTATCCAAAATACATGAGCAAATATGGTGGACCATTATATTTAACCATAGAGTTCATCGAGTTTTGAATAAGCCCCTCCTCTGGGTGAGGTCTGGCTTTCAAATAGTTCATAAGACTATAGGGCAAAACATAATTTGCTATCAAGACATTTTTAATGTATGTTAAACTGTTGTCAATTCATATGCCAAACATAATATTGTGCTCCAAATGGAAAAACAAAATTTAATTGCTGCATAGCTCTTTCATCTTTAGCTTGGAAATATAGGTATATGACTACACTACAGATGTGTGTTAATTGTTATAGGTTATATTTCTATTGTATTATAACTTGTATGTTCATTATTTTCAGGATGATAGCTACTTTGCATGTCCTATAAACTTCCACCTGGAGATTTATTTATAGGTAAGATGTGTTTATTATTGGATTCTCCAGTTTATGAGCACAAATGCCTCACACTGGGGGAAAAACAAGGAACCGTTTTTATTTAATATGTGAGCTGAAGATGCAAGACATCTGTGTTTATAGACAATATCATATTCTCTCTTATAAATCTTTCAATGTTGTTACTTGCAATTTCACATATTGAATAGCAGGATAATTAATGGCCTAGGTCAAGGATCTGTTAATTAATTATCCTTGAATAGAGTGCATATGTGATTTAACTTGAGAACCTTAATTGAAGTTTAAAAGTTTACATTGTTGTATTTGTGTTTTGTTTAGTGAAATATGAACCAGATGCCCACAAAGAAACAGCACATCATATGCTGTTATTTGGATGTCAAGCACCAGGCAGTTATCATAAAGCTTGGTAAGTTTGAGATTCTGTGGTTAACAATTTGTATGATGTGTAACAGCCTAACTATGGAGAGTGAAAGATTAGTTTTTTGAATGCTCTGTGTTATACATACTTGTATTTTTTTGCCTTTTAGGAATTGTGGCGACATGGGATTTGGGACTTGCTCTGGATCTGAGTCTATTTTGTTTGGATGGGCACGAGATGCTCCAGCACTTCAACTACCAAAAGGTATGTTTGATGTTAAGATTTTGAATACATATTTTTCGTAAAAGAACTTTATAGCTGGTATAAACGATCTGGCAAATGTAATTTAAAGTTAATTAGTGCAGCATGCACAATCTAATATTGAAAGTACCTGAGTATAATGATGCTTTTGGGTATGAAATATGAGCTGAAATTATGAATTTCTAAAGATAGTTTCAACCTCAATGCACCAATGAATTTACTTTGAATGTACTAAATAGTAATATATACCCAAATGTGTGGATCGACTACTTTTAGCTATTTACTTTACTTGTACTTGTACTTGTACTTAAGTTCCACCATTGCTGGTTCTAAACATTTGTATAACAAAGCAACAATTAATGGTAATCTTTTGATAGTCAGAAAGATTCAATCAAACGCTTCAATTAATTTTTGCATAGGTTGTGGTTGCTTGCACCTTAATGGCATTTTTCTGGTTGCACTAGCTTTTCTCTACATACCCTTGTCTACCTCTAGGTTATGAACTTATAAAATATTATATATGAAACATGATAAGCTAGCCAGAAGCCAAAACAGCTGATAATCTTACAAACTAAAATACTAAGCAAAAACGAAAAATGAGTTAAATGACATTTCAATTGACATGTCTTGCTGGTAGTCCGTATATCTGGTTTTCAAAACAAGCCTATTTTTTAGTTTTTGTTTTACATTTTATAAATTTTATACCCATTTGCATGAGTCATTTCTGTCATTTCATTTAGATGTTGGATTCAAAATCGGTGGGAATACAGAAATACAGTATCTCACACTTCAAATTCATTATGCTCATGCACTTGAAGGTATTTTAACAGATGATCAGTGGGCATTGTGTCATTGTCCTCAAATAATGTCTCATCAAATGTGGACTTAATCACGGCGTAAAATAAACTAATTTTCATCATCAGGGTCGGTTGTATCAAGCCCATGCATTAAATGGTGGTTTAATATACCGGTAGTTCAAAATGGAAATCAAGTCTATCATTTTATTCAACAAGAGAACTAAATGTTTTGAATCTTAATTCAAAAATACTGTTTACAACTACATATTCAGTGCATAATATTCAAGTTGACTCATTCAAGAAAGATGTAAGAGTGTTATTTAATTTTGACTTATCCGCCATTTAAGCTAAATGGGCTTGATACAACCGGCCCCAGGGCTTTAATTTAACATAGGATATATGTGAACAAAAAAAAGCTTCCCTGATATTGGCGCTAATACATCAAAATGCCAAGAAGTTTTTTGTCAATTCTAGCTAATAGGCAGTTGCTATATCGCATTTGAGTATTTAGCAAATGACCTCTTTCTTACCTGCTACAAAGTTATTATAAAAAATTGCAAAAACATTTAGTTTACCTTACATATCCATTTTATAGAGAAACATTATGACAGATCGGGATTGACATTGCATGTGACTCCAGCACCGTAAGTGTTTGATTCATGAACCATTATTAATGCAGCTACTGCTGCAAACAGATCGAGATAGTTAAAAGGTTTGAGCATGCAGCTGCTTATTTTGAGGTTTTCATTTTAGACAGCCAAACTTGGCATCAATTTACCTCCTGATGGCAATAAATGCATTCATTCCACCTCATTCTCAAGGTTTGTACCAAGTTATGTAAAGTTTGTTATGTATAGCTAACGTTCAATTGATATTGACCCCTTCAAAAAACCTTTGCATTTGTAATGACTGTGTATGTCTCCAGTGAATATAAAATATTGTGATGCTGCAACCCTGAGTGTTCGTTGCTTGCCCCCTTGGTTAGTGTCAAAGTAGAACTTTTGCCTTTTTGTCAACTTTATATGGACTATTTTAAGGTCTGTTCACACAATCCAATTTTGTTAGATCCAATTCACTTCTGATGGATGTTTTATAGTCTGTTGTCTTGTAATGTATACGAGCAGCAATTCCATCTGCTCCTGCTCCATCAATAACTGACTATATTCCATACCTCCGGAGTGAATTGTATGGAACAAAATTGCATCGTGTGAACAGACCTTTATGTAAGCTATATAATTTTGAATAAGCAATAGCAAGAAAGCAAAAAATGAAACTAATTTTAAACTCGGTTATACATATTTCCTTGAGACAAATGATAGGTGAAATCACATTTATTAAACAATATTTTGATGCTAAAGCATGCATTATTTTCAAATTATAGTAATTACATTTATTTTGCAAAGTACAAAGCTTAATATTTATATTGTTATCACTTTATCTTGCTATGACTACAAGAATCACTTTTATCTATAATTTACATGTTATTTATTGGTTAATTACAAGGCAGCTCCAATATATAAAATACACGGTTTGTTACCATACAGCTGCTGTAGCAATCCATCTTGCCTCGTGCATTTCTGGAAGTTCTTCCCAGCTGTATCTGTCAAATCTAAAACCTTCCACAGACTTCAAGGCATTTCCTCTTTCATCCTGGCCTCCCATCACGATCACGGTGTCTCTGACAACTGCAGTCACACATCCTTTCCTCCTGTACTTCATGTCAGGTAGCATGTGACTCTTCTGGGTCTTGATGTTGTACATTAAAACTGCGTTTAATGCTTTGTGGTTACTGTCGACACCACCCATTATGATAACGTTGTCTTCACCCCACTTGACTGTGGCCATTTGACTCACGGGGTAGGGGAGGGGAGCCAACTCCTGACATTCATTCTTAGTGATGTCATATATCATAACACTTTTGAGGGTTAATTGCGAAAGGGGTTGTCCGCCTCCAACTATCAAAATCTTGTCATCAAACATTGCGACGCCATGAGAATATCTGTCCTGTGGCAAGATTGACAATAGTTTTATACTGGTGTTAGGTGGAACAAGGGAGATCTCAATAATTTTATTGGAAGGTGAAGTTGATTTGGAATGTGGATTCATTCTGAGATCATGACCAGCAATCAATATCAACCGTCCTTGATAAAGAACACTGCAGTGTCCAAACAGTAGCCCAACCCCAGTTAACTCAACAGGAACAACTTCCCACTTTGCTCTGGACTGATCAACTTGATCATCGTCCAGTGATAACTGTATCATCGACGTCTTATATGAAGATCCCAAAACAAATAGATTTTTGTTGTGAATAAACGAGGTTGCTCCAGAGAGACATTCTCTCATTGGTTGTAGTAGTGTCCAGGTTCCGCTCGCAAGACTAAACATTTCCACCGATCTTAATCCTCCACCTCCAGCAACAATGATTTTCGGTTCCCTGTCCTTTCCATCAGCTTTTGGAATTCCTTTCTTCAGTTGCTTCGTGATCTCATTCAAACATTTCTTCACTTCAAAATTGTCCGCTTCCAGGCCACGATTGCTTTCTTCCAGTCGACAATTGCTTTCTTCCAGTCGACGATTGCTTTCTTCCAGCCGTCGATTGCTTTCTTCCTGCTTCTTTAGTTGTTCTTGAACCAACTTTTCCACTTTGGACACCACATTTTCTTCAACAGTTTTCATGTTCGCCTCATTTCTTTCCAACTTCACATTAATCGATGCCAAGTTGACTTTGAAGACATCCATCTCTCGTTTTATGTCATTACAACTATGACATTTAACTCTGCGTTGTTCACACACAGCTGTTTCATGATGAAGTAAATCTTGCTTGTTGACTTCCCGTCCACAACCTTCATTCGAGCAGAATGCTGGAGCAAACCCACACTCTGCAACATGCTTTTCAAGAGCGTCCAGCTCAATAAATCTTTCACAACCACGGTTGAAGAATTCACAACGGATCTTAAGTTCAGAAAGCAAGTTCGCTACGGTACGATTCACTTTCAAAGTATCGATAGTGAGTGGTTGCATACATGTCGGGCATGTCTGAGAGTACATGAGATGTCTGGTGATACAACCACGACAAAATACATGTTCATTATGGCGGCACATGACCGGATCTTTGATGACATTCGTGCAAATGATACAGTGCAAGGTCTGGCTGACAATCTGTTCAAAGCGTTCATCATCGTAACCTGTGTCGTACGAGACAAATTTCGATGCCGCCATTTCAAAACAATCAATAGCGTTCAAAGATCGTCGCTCACATTTTTGAACCAGTAGAATATAAAACTGCAAATTAAGAAATTAATCATTACAACAAAATTAAACGGAATCTTTCGATGTATACTCTCCTAAATTTTTATTCAACAATAGTTCTGCATCAATAATCGTTGCCACGTCAGTTTATCACTTCTCTTAGTTTGTAAATATCTAACACTCCGAAACAAATCACAAACTTACCTTTGTTAAGATTACCAGGATATGGCTACTTGCCTTCAAAGTCACTGCAACTATAATTTAAGCGACTAAACGACTTTAAGAAAGCTCTGCCTTAATGAGAGATTCGCGATAAGCCTTGTCTCAGTTTCTGTTTTAAAGCAACCCTAATTCCTGAATGTTAATTTTGCAATTCCTCACGAAGGACTCCTGCAGAGATGTTTCGTAAGGGCTGTTTTTTTACTGTCATATTTTCTATACATATACATACTGCACTTGAACCCACGTAAAAAGTGTAAAACCTATATAGGTTCATGAGTCTTACATGAAGTATTTATTGTTCGTTTAAGTAAATTAGCTTGTAGGTACACCACGTAAGAATTTAATACTGCAAAGCTTTCGGTCCGTTAACCCGGGCCTTCATCAGTGCAATTACTGTACGAGGAAGAAAGCCCGGGTTAATGGACCGGAAGCTTTGCAGTATTAAATACTTGCGTGATGTATACCCACAAGCTAATTTACTTATTTGATGTCACCATGCAAACGTATACAAGAATATTATTCTTCATTTGTTTGGCGAGTGTCGTTAAATCGACGTTTAAAAAGTTCCTGATAACTAACAAAAACCCCGAAATTTTAACTATCACTTCTTCTACAGTAAACAGGCTTTGACTTTCCCCAAGACGTCGAGTTCTTTGTTGTATTTTCTATCAAAATCACACACCACTAGCAAAAAAGTAGCCGTTGCATGAGGTTATTTTTTAGGTACAAATCGGTATTAAACCTTACAATTATACCTTTAGTCGACTTCATGTTAATCCTAACCCAATGTTGTGTTCAACCTGAGCCTAATTTGTGTTCATTTGTTGCCTAATTCTAATATAAGAGTTTATTTACTAAAATCACTCTTCGAAATTCCGTCTGTACTCGTGGTAAAATTCAGTTTTTTACCAAACAGCTGCGGTGGCCTCGTATCTTGCCTCGTGCATTTCTGGAAGTTCTTCCCAGCTGTATCTGTCAAATCTAAAACTTTCCACAGACTTTAAGGCATTTCCTCTTTCATCCTGGCCTCCCATCACGATCACGGTGTCTCTGACAACTGCAGCCACACATCCTTTCCTCTTGTACTTCATGTCAGGAAGCATGTGACTCTTCTGGGTCTTGATGTTGTAAATTAAAACTGTGCTTAATGCTTTGTGGTTACTGTCGACACCACCCATTATGATGACGTTATCTTCACTCCACTTGACTGTGGCCATTTGACTCACGGGGTAGGGGAGGGGAGCCAACTCCTGACATTCATTTTTTATGATGTCACACATAAGAACATTTCTGGGAATCGATTTATGGGAAATGTTCTCCCTTCCTCCAACAATCAGGATCTTGTCACCAAACAGGGCAGCACCATGAAGATATCTCCCTTGTGGCATGGTCGACAACACTTTAATGGTGTAAGGTGCAGCGAGAGAAATCTCAGTAATTCTGTCAGAAGATTCATATGTAACTCTATGAAATCCACCAATCACGAGCAACCTTCCAAGATATAGAACACTGCAGTGCCTATACAATGATCCAGGTAACTCGGCAGGAACGATTTCCCACTTGGCTGTGGACTGGTCAATTTGAGCATCGTCCAATGATAACTTCTCCAAAGATGTCTTTCTCCAACCCCCCAGGATGAATAACTGATTGTTGTGCACAAATGAAGTCGCTCCTTCGCGATGCTCTCTCATTGCCTGTAGTGGAGTCCAGGTCCCACTCGCCAGATTGAACATTTCCACCGATCCAGACTCCTCGCCTCCAGCAACAACAACTTTCGGTTCTCTGTCCATTCCATCAGCTTTTGGAATTCCTTTCTTCAGTTGCTTCGTGATTTCATTCAAACATTTCTTCACTTCAACATTGTCCGCTTCCAGCCGACGATTGCTTTCTTCCTGCTTCTCTAGTTGTTCTTGAACCAACTTTTCAACTTTTGAAACATTTTCCTCAATAGCGGCGACCTTCGCTTCATTTCTTTCCAATTTTTCATTGATCGATGCCAAGTTTACTTTAATGATATTCATTTCATCGCCTTTCACTACGCGTAGTTCACACACAGCTGTTTCATGATGAAGTAAATCTTGCTTGTTGACTTCCCGTCCACAACCTTCATTCGAGCAGAATGCTGGAGCAAACCCACACTCTGCAACGTGCTTTTCAAGATCTCCCAACTCAATAAATCTTTCACAACCACGGTCAAATAACTCACAACGGATCTTAAGTTCAGAAATTAAGTTCGCTATGTTACGAGGCACTTTCAGAGTATCGGCAGTGAGTGGTTCTATACATGTCGGGCATGTCTGAGAATACATGAGATGTCTGGTGATACAACCACGACAAAATACATGTTCATTATGGCGACACATGACTGGGTCTTTGATGACATTCGTACAAATGATACAGTGCAAGGTCTTGCTGACAATCTGTTCAAAGCGTTCATCATCGTAACCAGTATCGTACGAGGCAAATCTCGATGCGGCCATTTCAAAACCCTCGCATTTTACTCACATTTATGAACCAGTACAGTATAAAGCTATGAGTCAAAGAATTGAAATTTGAAACAGTAATGAAAATTGATCTCATGCAGATAGCTTATAGCCTCTCGTGATCTCTTTGTTTATAAATAATGTGAATATAGTAAATTATATACTTACTTTGGGTAAAATGATGAATTGGCCGTCGATTTGGAGGCTAATCGACACTTTGAAAAGCACAGTTGAAGCGCTCAATTTGAGGGTTTAATTATACATCAGTATACAGCTTTAGTTCCGAGATAGTGAATTTCTTTGAATTTTGCGACATTCGACTCTCGCTTGACCCATACTAATAATAATAATGTGACAGTTTGTAATTCTATCCTTTTAATAGTATTTGGTTGAGTTGAAATTGCGATATTTCTCAAACCTTTTTTTATTCGTTTCTTATTTGAAATACTTCGCCATTATAAACATACAGCTTCTCGTTACTGACAAAACGTGCACAGAGCCACTGTTGGGTTGATGCCAGGTACTTAAGCTCTTTCCGTTTAAATATCATCAGCATTTTTACATCGTATTGAAACGTGTTGACGAGCCATTGAACCAGTCAAACTTTTAAACTCAGACGAGATGGGCTAAGTCTGTGTTTACAATGGTTGAACAGAGTTGATAATGTTGTTGTTGAGGGTTTGCATCAACCCGGTCAGTTTTTGGCAAGCTTTAACTGGAGCGCGCATACATTTCTGCCTTGATTTGGAAAGACCCGCAGGGCGTGAAGGTGATTATATACAGGGCGCTTATATGATTATATACAGGGCGCTTATATACTATATATAGTATATAAGCGCCCGGATTATATAAAACATCGTATGCTTGCTGAAATGACTGTATTTTTAAAATCAATTTCTTTATTTGCAAACGGTTTTATGCTTATTCTAAGTTTAACTCTCCCAAATTTTATCCTAACTGTTAACTTAATTGTTATCTTGATCTAATCCGTGATCCTAATCCCGATTAAATATCTAACCTAATCCAAGCTTGATTAAAGTCTTATCTTGTGCTGTCATTTATGGGTTAAAATGGTGAAAATCGTTTATCGAATCTGAATAATTTATGTATCAGATTTACTAGTGACATGTTTGTATATCATTTTTATATTACATATATTGACTAACATACAGCAGCCGTAGCAATGCATCTTGCCTCGTGCATTTCTGGAAGTTCTTCCCAGCTGTATCTGTCAAATCTAAAACTTTCCACATACTTCAAGTTGTTTCTACCATCTTGGCCTCCTATCACGATCACGGTGTCTCTGACAACTGCAGCCACACATCCTTTCCTCTTGTACTTCATGTCAGGAAGCATGTGACTCTTCTGGGTCTTGATGTTGTAGATTAAGACTTTGCTTAACGCTTTGTCGTTGCTGTCTGCGCCACCCATTATGATGACGTTATCTTTACCCCACTTGACTGTGGCCATTTGACTCACGGGGTAGGGGAGGGGAGCCAACTCCTTAAATTCATTTTTAATGATGTCATACATCAGAATATTTTGAAGAGTTGACGAATTGAATAGGGTCTTCATTCCTCCAATGATCAGAATCTTATCACCAAACATCGCAACGCCGTGGAAGTATCGTGTCTGAGGCATTCTAGACAACAGTTTCCTGGGATAAGGAGGGACAAGTGAGATCTCAGTAATTCTATCCGAAGATGTACTTGTACATCCATCATAACCACCTATCAGTATCAACCGTCCCAGATGAATCACGCTACAGAGGGCATACAATGATCCTGGTAACTCCGCACAAACAATCTCCCACTTGGCTATGGACTTGTCACTCAAAGCAACGTCCAATGACACCTTCTCCATGGAAGTCTTGCCAAAACCTCCCAAAATGAATAATTGATTGTTGTAGACAAACGAAGAGGCTCCACTGTGACGTTCTCTGGTCCCCTGTAGTCGTGTCCAGGTCCCGCTCGCCAGGCTGAACATTTCTACCGATGTTGACGTCAATTCGTCGCCTCCAGCAACAATGATTTTCGGTTCTCTGTCCTTTCCATCAACATTTGCAATTCCTTTCTTTAGTTGCTTCGTGATCTCATTCAAACATTTCTTCATTTCAACATTGTCCGCTTCAAGCCGTCGATTGGTTTTTTGGACAAGGTCAAGTTTTGAAACAACATTTTTCTCGAGAGTTGTTATTTTCGCGTCGTTTCTCTCGTAATGTTTCTCAATTCTTTCGAATTTTGCATTGATCGATGCCAGGTTAGCTTTAACGACATTCACTTCATGACTTATGTCATTACAACTATGACATTTAACCCTGCGTTGTTCACACACAGCTGTTTCATGATGAAGTAAATCTTGCTTGTTGACTTCCATTCCACAACCTTCATTCGAGCAGAATGCTGGAGCAAACCCACACTCTGCAACATGCTTTTCAAGATCTCCCAGTAAAATGAATCTCTCACAACCACGGTCGAAGAACTCACAACGAATCTTAAGTTCAGAAATCAAGTTCGCTATGTTACGAGGCACTTTCAGAGTATCGACAGTGAGTGGTTCTATACATGTCGGGCATGTCTGAGAGTTCATGAGATGTCTGGTGATACAACCACGACAAAATACATGTTCATTATGGCGACACATGACCGGATCTTTGATGACATTCGTACAAATGATACAGTGCAAGGTCTGGCTGACAATCTGGTCAAAGCGTTCATCATCGTAACCAGTTTCGTACGAGGCAAATCTCGATGTCGCCATTTCGAAAGCAGGTTTCTTATTTTCGCTCACATATTTCGTAATGCGTCATGATGTGAATCAGAAGATTAGCCACCTGTAAGTCAAAAAACACAGCATAAATTCCTTCCCTGAATTGTCATTTTAACAACAGTTCTGCATTAATTCGTATAATTGTTGTGAACTCTGTTATCATTACCCGTGGTTTGTCATTGGTAAATCGCTAGGATAAATCATGAACTTACCTTCTTTAAAATCACTATTGGCTAGAAAAGGTAAATTACTTTCTAAATCGTCTGCGGCGTTTTATGAAAATTTCCAAATACGTTTCTTTGCTTCAAAGCGACCTTTAGTATACATTTCCTGTGTTTTGATTTAAGAGTTATATATAGGAACGCTACGAAGACTTCCTGCATATCTGCATGATAGAATTCTTTGATAATGTGCTTGTACACATCCTGTTCTGGCTTCCTGCAGAGACGATTTCTTACAATTACACAATTACATATTATTTGACATGATCGAAACCGCAGGTGGCGGATACCGGCTACGCGATAAAACCTAACGGAAAATTTGTTAACATTGATGGTTATCAGTAGAAATTTAGTCCTATTTTGTGGAGTTGTATGAAACATATTTGTCTTATGGCGTATATAAAGCAAACTGACATGTTGTTTAAGCTTGCTTCAAATACTTGCTTTAATGAACCAAGCGAGAATCGTAATCATGATAGAAAGATATGATATAAATATAGCTAATATAATACACTGGCGGTCAAAAAAAAACTGCTCAAATGTTGCTATTATCGTATGTAACAGGAATCGTAACAATCATTTTTTTATTGTACAATAGCGGTCATAAAGAACTGTTTAGATACAAATTCATAAAAAAGAAGCGAATATAGGAGAGAGCTTTATAGGCATTTTGGATAATTCTCTTATTCCAAGCAATATTTCAATAATGTAATGCAACCTGCCACCCTTCCAAGATATAGTCAAACAATGGTTTCAGGAAGAGGGAGTGACAGAAATGGATTGGCCTGCACAGTCAAAAGACTTTAACACTATTGAAAATCTGTAGGACATTGTGAAGGGGATAGTGCAAGAAAGGAAATCATTCATAAAGCGTCCATGATTTATGCGTTGCTGTAAAGACTGTCCATAGGATGAATTTCTTTTGACCGTTAAGATTACCACCTTAACAGAAAGTATGCCACGCCGGTGTAAGGCCGTTATCAATTATCACGCCAAAGGAGGGTCAACAAAATATTAATATTTCATATAGCTTAGCATGTAATCTAGTCTATATTTACTCGTATATATTGACTTGTTAGAGGGACAGTTACGTTCATTTGAGAGCAATTCAACTTGTTTTGAGCAGTTCTTTTTGACCGCCAGTGTATAATAATATACATACAGTTTATGAGTGAATTACTAGCATGTCGTTCTTAACATAGGCCTAGACTAACCTGTATTGAATGGACGAGGTTCACCCGTTTCAAGACTTTAAATCAACTACACACAACACACGTATCTCCAAAAAACAATGTATTTTAATCATGTAAATTGAGCTTTTTATAGAACGATCTAACCCCCCCCCCTCGTTATGCTCGCAAAAAAGCATGGGAAGGTTTTAAAATTACCCTTTTTTCAAACAATGTTTGGGTCTATTTGTTTACAACTTGAGGATCAGAAGGTGCATCTATTATACTATTATCTCGTTTATGGCAATGTTTGATTGCTTTATTAAGGCCATGTTACACAGTTTTCCTTGCAACTTGAAATACAATTCTACTTTGAAGTGATGTAAATTAGTGAAGAGTCTTGAAAATGTGAGTGTAAGATACGCCGTGGAGTGTAATAAAGACAAAAGTTTGGTAGCCGCCAAATTTACATCTTTCAAAAAAAGAATTGCATTGCAAGTTGCAAGAAAAATTGGCACCGTGTAACATTGCCTTCAACAAGTGTACATGAATTTTTTCTATTCGTAATATTTACAGCTTACTGCCGTAGCGCAGTGTCGTGCTTCATTCATTTCTGGAAGTTCCTGCCACGAATTACTTTCAAATGAAAATTTTTCCACCGATTTTAAGCAATTTTCGTCTTCGTCATTTCCCCCCATGACGATCACGGTGTCTCTGACAACCACAGCCACACATCCTCTTCTCCTGCACTTCATGTCTGGTAACATTTCGCTCTCCTGCGATCGGATGTTGTACATGAAAACCTTGTTTAACGCACGTCGATTTCTATCAACACCGCCAATTATGATGACGTTATCTTCACCCCACTTAACTGTGGCCATTTCAGTCACGGGGTAGGGGAGGGGAGCCAACTCCTCACATTCATTCTTAGTGATGTCATACATGATAACACTTTTGAGAGTTGCATTGCTTCGAATGCCATATCTACCACCGACAATCAAAATCTTGTCATCAAACAATGCAACACCATGGTAACATCTTCCCTGTGGCATGGTCGACAACGGGTTCATGGTGTAAGGTGGAGCAAGAGAAATCTCAGTGATGCTATTAGCATAGCTCTGACCATAACCACCAATCATTATCAACCGTCCATCATGAATAACGCTGCGATGACCCACCAAAGGTCCAGGTAACCTAACCGGAATATCTTCCCAAGGTATGGACTGGTCGTGAACCACAAGGGATGTTAATTTCTCACTGGATCTTGTTGGAATGCCTCCAATGACTACCATTTGTCCTTGGTGAACAACAGAAAACGCGTCACTACGACTTTGTCTCATCGACGCTAGCGGCGTCCAAGTTCCTTGAGAGGGTTGGAACATCTCCACAGAACTTAACGCGTTTCCTTGGTTCTCACCTCCGGCAACAATAACAACCGACTCTTCGTGTAATGCGCTATGTCGCTCCTCACATTTTTTAAAAAGCTGTTTAAAGTCTGTAGTGACATCCTCCGAATCATTGCTGCTTCTTCCAAGTTGTACAAACGATGGCTTGATAACACGCAGCGAACCACCTATTATTACGGGGAACTCCGTTGTCAACGACAGAACTCGTGAAACTCTGCGGCGCTGACGCTCGGCTATTTCATGCTCAACTTCATGATCAGATAAATCTTGTCTATTCACTATGGCGTCACTCCAAAGACATTTCTCTGGAGCAAACCCACACTCTGCAACATGCTTTTCAAGATCTCTCAGTTCAACAAACTTCGTGCAACCACGGTCGAAGAAATCGCATTGAATTTTTAATTCAGACAGTGAGTTCGTTACATTTTGAGGTACTTGGGTCAGAGAATCGACAGTGAGTGGTTCCATACATGTCGGGCATGTCTGAGAGTTCATGAGATGTCTGGTAATACAACCACGACAAAATATATGTTTATTATGGCGACACATGACCGGGTCTTTGAGGACATTGTGACAAATTTGACAGTGCAAGGTCTGGCTGACAATCTGTTCAAAGCGTTCATCATCGTAACCTGTGTCGTATTCCGCATCCTTTCTGGCCATTTCAACTCAAGACGTTCCTTGGATCCTTCCCTCACGTTCTTCTTGTACGAGTTACGGTTTAGGCTGCTCTCAAACGCCAGCTTTCGATTTCAACTTCCTACATTGTTATTCAACAGCAGTTCTGTATCAATGATCCTTGTCACGTCGATATATCACTTCTTCTGTATGGTTCCTACGCCCTGTTTTTGTCAATTTGTGTGACTGAATTGAATCCTTTGCCCACCAATTTTATATCGAGAAAAGATCTACAGAAAGACAGATAGAAATAACCTTTTTTATCCACTATAAACACTGTTCATGTAAAATGTTTGCTTTAATTTAGTTCAAATTTAATTTAGTTCTAATTTAGTTCCGGCCAGTTAATGTGGCGATAAAACTGCTATATAGGTTGTCTTTTAAAAACAATGACGTGCTGCCACTTTTTACTCTGCCTATAATGCAAGGCAATTTTCCTTCTCACTAGCTAGTTTAGTAAGACAACATTCAAAACTATATGAGCTATAACCATATTTCGTCAACTTAACAAGCATTTTTGTCGCAATATCGGCGTATGTGTTTACGTTGTGTATTATAGTTTAACTTGGTCTAGACCAAATAATTTTGCTCAACAGTAGTTGGGTAATTTCAGAACGTGTAGATGCGAACACGTATAGTGGATATTTGTAAGACAGAAACGCATTTAAATCTGATCGTTAAAACTAGCTTTCGATGAAGACAGCTTTCCATTTGTACTTGAACATTTATGCTTCGGTGATGAGATATTATTTTGTACCTTTCTCTTTAGCACATTTGGTAAATCAGAACTTACCTTCTCCAAAATTACCAGGAAATATGATAAATTCCCTTAATGCATTTACTTTTGAGGGTCTTATTAGATCCTTGCCTACGAAGCGACTTGGCTTTAAACAGTGTCAGCCTGTATTCATGAGCTATGGCTATGTTGTATATATAAAGGCAATGAAAAACACTCGAATTCCAAACAAAGACTGTTTTTTCCGTCGCGTTTGAAAGTGTAAAACGCGTATACAAGCAATTAAACGTCAGGAAAAATGCGCTCGCAAATCATCTAACTTACCTAAGCCTGTTAAAGACATTGAACTTTTCATGTGACATTTAGTTTAAACCTCAAACGCCATTCACTCAGTTGGCTTTTCATTTATAATGATCTCGTTGATTTCAGGGATTCACGTGGACATCGCGTGCAAATACGAAAGCGACCAAGAAATCAATGCTTTTGCCTTTCGTACGCATGCGCATGATTTAGGTAAGTTCAGGGCGGCATGTTTATTACACTCCATGGTCGCTTTTTACACTTGCATTTGAAGACTCTTTACTAATTTTCATCTCTGAAAAGTAGAATTGTATTACAGGTTTTAAGATACATTGAACCGTGTATAAACATGGCCTTTTAAGTCTTGTTTATTCCGCAATAGGTCGTGTCATCACTGCATATCGGATTAGAAACAATACTTGGAGATTACTGGGCAAGGGCGACCCCCAAGCGCCACAGGTAGGATATTTATTTCATCAGTTTTACACAGTCTGTCAGACACTGTTTTACACAAACTTCGACAGCCGAATCTAACAACCATGGCCCCAAAATTGTACAACGCACTTGCCATAGGGTATCAGTATGAAACGTTCAGATAACCAATTCTACCCATGTTGAATTCAGCGTTATATTCAAGTATTTTATGAAAATGGTTGACGATAGACATGCAGCAGCACCATATCACTGGTCGAACTGAGTTTCTTTGCAAGTGTTGCTTAATCGCGACTTTGGAAACAGTCTCAGTCACTTGCTAATTGTCTGTAAGAGTAATAAAACATAATATCGTTTTTTAGGCATTTTATCCAATGGATAATGTTACAATGATTAAAAAAGGGGACATTTTGGTAAGCCCATGATTCTTCTCTACCATTTACTGATTTCGTCACTTCGAATCATTGCATCAACAATTCGTATTTTTGAGAACTTCTATTGCCAGGCAAGTCGTAAGTGTCGTGAACATGCCAAGGTGCCTGATATGATTGAATGATAGAATATTTTTATGCGTAGTCAACAATGACCGGTTTGAATACAGAAATAAAGACAAATTCACATCCAGACTATCCCTCATCGGTGAAAATGACTCGTACACGACAATTACGACTGAATTGAAACCAGGCTTAATAGTTTCCATCGTGTAATTTTCTGACCCATGTTGGGGAAACATAATCGTGTTTTTTCTCCGTGTTCAGGCTGCGAGATGTACGTACGATACTGTGAATAGTGGAAAAACTTCAGCTACTCTGATTGGGTGAGTAAAAATGACTAAATACTCACTTTATATTTTTCGCCAGTTGCTGACACAAGCTGTTTGTATTTGCAAGTCGGTGTCTTGCGGTTCTCTGAGCCAGAACTTCACAGCCTGCTGGGATAAGCACTCTCAGGTCTAACAATGACACAAATCTAACTGTTTTTCATTCGCAATAATGTTCTCAACTATGTGTCTTGACATCACCTTTTTAGCTTTATGCTAAAAGCTAGCTTTGAAATATGGCGTTTGTACGCATGTTTATTCTTTCATACATATACCATGGTAAGATCTGCACACGACAAAATTGTTTTATTGGTGTAAATGAGCCTTCACCAAGCTGGTGTTTCATTGCAATTTTAGTTCAACAGCTGCTGACGAGATGTGTAACTTTTACATGATGTACTATCGAGATGCAAACAGCAGTATCTCCACGCCTGAGGTCTGCGCAGAACAGCATGAGTACGAGAACCTTTACGATTCTTTTCCAATCGGTTCTGATGTTGCTCTTCGCTCTGGTCCAGGCCACCATCATCATCATCACCACCATGGTAGTCCCGAGGAAGAGGCTGGGAACGAGTCTGCTGATGTCGCAACTGACAGCAAGGTGACTGGCGCGAGTCAAGGTGAAGAAATATCTTTATCCACTATCCAGTTATCATTTACGTAACGACTTTACATGAAGTACAATGATGCCTTAAGTTCTGTTCATACGATCGAATTTTGTTGGATCTAATTCACTTCTGACGTATGGGATGTAGTGTAAAAGCAATACTGAATTGCCATACCGAATTATCGTTAAAGCAATACTGAATTGGATCCAACAAAATTGGATCGTGTGAACAGACCTTTATATTTAGTATAATCATACCAGTAAAAATACCCAATCTAATAATAGGTATTGTGTATAACATCGTGCTGTATTGTAGTTATACTTCAATATAAATATATGAAATGTTACTGAAGGAAAGTTACTGAAGAAAAGCGTTGTCAGTATATGTGTTTAGTTAAACAGAACGGTTAGATCTTCAGATTTCTACGTTTTTTTAGTTTTCCCCACAAGTGTCCCTGAGAGAACCACTATTCAGACCTCTAGGAGTGAGAGAAAGTCCACAGAGAAACCGTTGACTAGAACGTCAAGCAGCGACCAAAAATCCGGTGGCCAAATAAATAATGTGCATGAAGATGGCTCGGATCAAATTGGTACAAATGGTGACGTCAGTAATGGTGATGATGATGATGACGTAAGTGATGGTAGTGACGTTCAAGATGGAGATGGTAATGTTAAAGAAGGTGATGGTAACGTCGAAGCTGACGGTGTCATAAAGGTTGATGCTGGTATCAAAGATGGTGATGACATCAAGGATAATGACGACGATGACGTCAAAGATGATGACGATGACGTCAAAGATGATAATGACGTCAAAGATGATGATGACGTTACAGGTAACGTTAAAGATGATGATGACATCAAAGATGATGATGACGTTAGAGATAGTGGTAACGTTAAAGATAATGCTAATAATGCCAAAGAACTGAATCACGTCATCCAAAGTTTGGACGTCACAAACGACAGACCTATTACCCACACCACGTCTTACCAACAGGCCAGAGAAATTACCACAGGGAACCCATTGCAAGAAACAACACAATCCCCACAGACGAAAACATCCCGTTCCACCACAAGCGACGTCTCAACAAGTACTTCGATTTCCGAGCAAATTACGACGTTCTCCGAGCTTCCGAGCGGTTCAAAATTTTCTCGAACGACAAGATCGACAAAAAAATCAACTTCGACGTCTTTTGACGATGACAATTTATCCAAGACTACATCAAGTATTGGCGGAGAACGGTCACAAGTTGAGCCTTCTTTGGCGTACGGAGTAACGGGCTTTAATGTTTCTCTGGTGGAATCCTGGCCGTTTGAAGTGACGGCGGGCTTGGGGCAAGTGACTGGCTTAGCAGTGGATACCGCTGGTCGCTTGTTCGTGTTTCATCGCAGTGAACGAACCTGGGAAGCGGAGTAAGTGCTGGAAGATTACTCAATACTATGTTTGCATAAATCATTTCAAACGTTTTGCTAGAATTCTAGTACATATTAATTTGCCGTTCAAAAGTCAGTCGGTTGGCTTTAATCCTGTGTTACTACGAACCTACAAATCATTTTTGTAGCGTTTTGTTATCAAGTTGAATAGATGGTTTCAGAAATCTTCCCTGTCTTAATGGAGTTTTGTTCCCAAAGTCTTGAATAGTAATAAATGAAACATTCAACAAAAACAGCAGATTAAGATTAAACGTTTTCAAACCGATCTCAGATACTCTCCTTTCAATCCAGACAGTTATAGCATTGGAAAACGTAAACTTTCACAATTCCATAGCTTCATTCAGTTCTTTTTTGCTCAATTCTCGTATTTACCTATTCCAGCACGTTCAACATAGACGATTCATTCCGGAATCCGCAAATCCGCGGTCCCATCCTTGGTTCTACCATCTTGGTTTTGGATGGTGTCAGCGGTAAAGTCCTGGAGAAACATGGCGAAAATATGTTTTATATGCCTCACGGTCTTACCATCGATCACCAAGATAATGTATGGGTCACTGACGTTGGCCGTCATCAGGTAAGGTCGTCTGTTCGAAAAGAACGTCAAATCAGTCCACCGCTCCGGTGAGACCATCTGTTTTTTTATCGTTTATTGCGAATTTTGTAGGTGATGAAGTTCCCTCGTGGCGAATTCAAAAAGCCGACTTTAGTTTTGGGTAAAAACCTTGTTCCTGGCTCCGGATACGAACATTTCTGTAAACCAACTGATGTGGCTGTGGAAAAATCTGGTGTCTTTTATGTTTCTGATGGGTAAGGTCAAGGGCTCTTATATTTTTAATGCAAGGATAAATATCTTTTAAAATGCAATAAATACATTTCGATGGTAGAAGCTTCTTCTATAGGTGCAGTTAGAATATTTTTCCCCGTCAAATATCCGCAGTTTTTCTATTTTTACTATATGTAATGTGACTATGGACCTGGAATGTGTCAAGAATTTGGAAGAGGGAAAACGATGTGCAGTGCTTTTATGAGCCTCCAAACACAATTCTCACGAAACCTTTCGTTTTTGTTTTAGCTATTGCAATAGCAGAATCATGAAGTTTTCGCCTGAAGGTCGGGTTATGAGAGTGTGGGGGAAGGCCTCCCGGCAAAATGGTGAGTGATGCTATGTTTTTACAACTTTTCCTGTGTGTTGGAAATTGTGCGGATATATGATAATTAACATAATGCATGCATAGGTATAATTAACACTGCATGAGGAACAATAATAAGTAAGGAACTCGGATGATTAAAGACAGATTGGAAGTGACGTTCAACTTGAGTGTATCAATTAGGGATTGCGGTAGTGAATGTGAATGTGTGTGGATGAAATGCAGATGTATTAGCTTGTACCTTTCGAGGTTCACCTAAGACTTGGTCGTTGCATTTCCTTACGAAAAACTTTGCCTTAAATTGAGCTTCATGTTCTAACAATCTCGCACTGTTATTTCCAGTTCCTCTTCCGGGCACATTCGTTATTCCGCACAGTCTAACCCTGGACGAGAACAAAGGAATGCTGTACGTCGCTGATCGAGAGAACGGTAGAATTCAATGCTTTGACACAGAAGGAAAGTTTCATAAGCAGATCTCATCTCCAAAATTTGGAGGACTCGTGTTCGCTGTCGTCTTCAGTAACCAAGGTAGGGTTTGCCGCAGGCAATATCGTTAGAGGCAAGTCCATTGACTCGATCCAATAAAGACAAGCAAGGCTTTGCCTGTTTGAAACGTCCGTCACAACTAGTAACATTAGAAGTCGTAACACATATAACACTACTGACTCAGAACAATGTTTCGCTGAAATCGCTGAATAGGAACCTATTTATAGTAATTTAGACTAAATTCTATCACTTCTTGCGTGCTTTTTACGTTTATCATTTTCTTCAAGATTACGTTAAGATTTCTTGTCATTAGGATTTCTTCATCTGTCACAAAACAACAACACATCGGTATTAAACTAAAATCGCTTGACAAATCACAATTTTAATAATCACTTTTGTAATTATGTATAAAGCTGTATGAACAACAAACTAATCCACGCTATACTTTCTTTCTGTAATATAGATGACGTTCTTTATGCTGTGAACAGTGGTTTCAAAACTAAAGTTCAAGGATTTACGATAAATCCACGCAGTGGAGATATCATCGCAACGTGGAGTCCTCACGGCAAGGTACGAGTCTCGGTTATCCCCCGGGGTTCTGGGTATCCTCAAAGGATTCTGGTTATCCCTCTGTGATACTGGTTAGCCTCCGAGGATCCTAGTTCCCTTCGCCTCGTGAGGATTCTGGTTATTCTTCCAAGGATTTGATTTTCCTTCCAAGGATCTTCCAAGGATCTTCCAAAGATTCGGCTTTCCAACATGGAATTATCACCCTAACAATGGACCAACAATAATGGCTGATAGGACACGTTTTAACGTCTATGTTTCATAATATCTTTCCATAGGGCTTCTCACAACCTCATGCTGTCGTTTCCAATGGCTCGAGTATTTTTGTTGCTGAAATCGGTCCCAACAGAGTGTGGAAATTTGAACACCCGAGCAAAGGTTAGCATATCTTTAGAGAGTTGATAACTTTGATCGCACAAGTTGTGAAAATTGACAAACCTGCAGCAGACGTGTGCTCGGGCTGCTTGTTCCAGGCTTGTTGACAAGTTGCTGCAAACCCGCAGCAGAATTTTTACAAGCTTGTCGACTCCGCAGATTGCTACAAGCTTGTTCTATCAACTTGTTATCGTTATGCAATTCCACAAGTTGTCAGTGACAAGCTTGTAGCGACTTCACAAAATAACAACATTGTTAACAAGCTTGTTGCGAACACAACTTGACAACAAGATGTGAGATTTTTACATTCAGAGCATTCATAACTAGTTGCTCCATTCGCGTCCATCGCAGGGATAAAATCGCAGTATTATAAACAAGCGTGCAAGTGTAACATATTTGTACTTTACTAGTTTCTGTTAAAGACGAGAACTTTGTCCGTGGACTGAACGCGGCCGTCCAGGGATCAAACCCAACAAAACCCTCTGACGAAACTACCACGGGCAAGCATGACGATACCAGAAAGCCACACGAGTCCAGTAATAGCCCCGGGTACATAATATTGGCCATACTGAGTGTCCCAGTTGTCGTACTGCTTGTGGTTGGTTTGATAAGTCGATTGACTCGGGGTAGCCATAGGTCACCCAAGTACGATATGATGGATGCCTCACTTGGAAATCACACCGGTTCCGGGAATTGGTGTAATTCTATGAACTGCTGCAACAGGCAATATCGTAACATGGAAGAACTGTATCTCATGGACAGCGACAGCGATATCGACATTTACCCCGATGTGCGCGTGGGCAAAAAGTGATTGGTCCGTGATTGAGCATGAACATTAGATCACGTGGCGGTTTGAATTCTTATCAGGGAGATTTAGCATGTCTTAAGACGTGAACGTCAAAGACGTGAAAATGGCGAGTAAATGGCGTGGCATGTCCATATTTGGGCGCATCACGCCATTTATTCGCCATTTTCACGTCGTCTTTGACGTTCACGTCCTTATGCTAAATCGCCCAATTGTAGATCCAGGGCGTGTTTACACATGTTCGCGCGGTTCTATAGGGTCTGGCCTCTCTTTGAGATTTCCATTGCTGAAATGAAACGAAGGAAATGATCATTCAGTTTTTTTCGAGTATCTGGTTTCTGGATTGGTTGATTTTTGTACTTGGATCAGCTGGTTGTTGCGACTTTGGTGATGGTCGATATGTTTGCAGGGCCCTAAGAACCGGGTGCTCACTTCAGGTACGCTCCTCCCTCTGACTGCCAATTTTAGACTTCAAAAGTTATTCGACCTCCTAACTTTGACTTGCTTCTTGCCACCCTCCCTGTGACATTTTTACACAAGGGGTTGATAAGAACTCAAACCGCCAGTAGACGAATTTAATATATTATTTCAATTTTATTCTGCCGTGAAATTTTCCATAGACCTCGAGTGCCTTCTGGCAAGACATTCAAGCACTAGTGAATTGTATTTTTATTGCATTAAAAATGCAGTTGAATGGAATATAAATTATTGCAAAAATCTATGCCTTTGCAAAAATCTATGCCTTTTTATTATGACGGACAGTCACATCATTGACTGAAAAGTTACTAAAAGTATTCTGGTTTAGGAAAAAAAGCGCCTTTGTAAGTTGTAACGACTAGAGACTTTGGTCATGATGTTGAAATTAGCATAACGCGCAACCAACGCAACTCGTACCTAGCCTGCATGGCAGGCGATCTTTAAAATCGGGCGATACTCGTGCTCGGTGACGTCAATGGTGACGTGTTACGGTGATGTTTCCATGGTGACGTATTCGATTACGTATAATTAATATTCCAAAATATAACAACAAAAGCGTCCCAACTTTTCAATGAAGACTATTTTTGTTTTATTCAGTATTTTCTCCATCATTTCTTTGTAAGAATATTAGAGTATACATTCCGCTATGTCAACATCGAGCGTGTCTACTCTGAGATTCGAAAATGGAGAAAGTCGCGATACAACGTTTGCGCAAAGTTTGAAAGATCAGCCTTCGAGCGAAACGTCGAAAGGGCATCACTGGAATTCGAAAGCAAAGCAAATGATTTTGGACGAATCTACTACAGAAAAGCAGGCAAACAGATTACTCCGAGACGATACGATGTTAGAGGCTTTAGATAACTTAACAGACAACGAATTAGATGAGCTTTACGAACGAAGTTTGGTGCTGAATAAAAGATTGAAACAGCATTTAAAAGATGAACATTTGGCAGGAAGTGTAAACAATCTTGAAAAGACAACTGATATTCAATGGTCTAGAAACACTGTGGTTTTGCCGCCAATTGTTACGAAGAACAGTCTAGTGGCTAGACGCCTTAAGGCAAACAGATAATATTTACTCAACAACAATATTAGTGATTTAGTGATCAATATATTTATATGTGTATATGAGTAATGAGTAGGGAGCTCGATATACCCACAGTTAGCGAAGTATAGAGATAATACAATGAAGATATTCAAAATAAAATTCAATAAACTTGGTTTACTTCATATAAATGCGTTTCAATGCTTGGCATTGCTTGAAATCAAACGCGACTCGAGGTAGTAATAATAATAACCCGCGACAAGCCACGACCCACGACAAATTAAAACCATGACAATCAGATTAATCATCATATAAAACATGACCTATGAAGTTTTGTAATATTGTAAATACACCGTAATGAACTTAGAAATAACAAAATATCTCATTTAAAGGCAACTCTTCGGTAAAATCAAAGAATGCTAAATTTTCTGTGTGAAAGCCAGCACAGAAATGAAAACAGCAGAAATATAAAGTTGTCATCATAAGATGTGGTCACACACGTGACAATGCAATTATTCTATTTTGTTACATGCAAAATATGAAGCCTAAAGAAGCAGTAATGTCACTTGTGTGACCAGAGAATTCCCCAGATGTGTCATGGTTTGATGTCTCTAGAATTCTTTGGTAACAGTTTCAGTAACAGTTTGGTAAGTAGTAGTTTCAGTAGTTTCAGTTAACAGTTTGGTAAGCTGATCTAATTGGACTAAACACATTCTTACTAATTGTGCTTCTTAAATAATGTAGAGTTCTCAGTAAAATCTGCAATGATTTTTTCATTACCTGAAGACTACAGGCATGACTGCATTTGTGGCAAGATGTGGAAGTAAATGTTTGGTGATAGCATGCACCCTTTTTAAGAATACTGATGTTTTTTTACTTTAGCACAGATTTTATGCTGCAGGATCACCAGATGAGGACATGTACTGTGGAGACAATTGCAGTAATAGTCCGTTTTCTGCTGCGAAATTGCATGTTCGGAGTTGATCGGTATTTTGTCGTGAATTGATTATCATACTACTTGTCTGATATGATCACGTGGTAAGGTTGTAGCAAGATTGAAGACGGTAGTATAGAAGCTTTAATACGGTTGTTTCCTATTGGCTCAGACTCTAACGAGGGTAGCAAAGTTAGCGAACCAATCAACTTCGAAGAAACTCCCGCTTTACAATTATAGGTTCTTTTTAGGTGCTGTGTACTTTAAATGTGATTGGTTTATTCGTAGTCACATGACTGCAAATAAATGCAATGTTTCCCGCCAGGGAAACAAGTGAAAAATTGTTGCCCGCTTCTTGTCATAACAAAGTAAAGTAGGTTTCTTTTCTAAATGAAATATTATCACTATTTCCCTCGGTAGCATGTATAATATTGAAATTATCATGCCAGTCGTTAGCTACTTACCGTTGACGTTGAGGCGAGCAAGGAGGAAGTTTTAATATGACATGTAAATTTTCATTCAAGGGAGAAGAAACTGCATGTTGTTTTGAAGCTGCATGAAATGTTTGAAATGATACTGGATCAAAGATGTCTTCATAAATCAAAGATATAGACAGCCTTGTACAAGTAAATTGATATTCTGGTTCGAAATGAAAGTATGTATTATATGTAACGTTTTTTTGAGCGTATCGCTGCGTTTACATTGCTTTTTTCGTTGCTTTAAATCGAATTTAAACTCTCTAGAATTTCCCAACACAGGCAACACTAAGTTGCTTCGCCAATTTTTTTCTAGCACGATTTCGATTGATTCCTTCAGAAATTTCTCAACATTTTTACTATAAAGAATGTGTAGAATCGCCTTTACGTTGCCTCGCTTTAAATTGGATTTAATCTCTTTGCGTTTTTAGATAAAAAAATGAGAAATTAACGAAAAATTACGACCTTTTAAATTCAATCCCCCCACAGTGAGTAAAACTGAACGTTCCTGATACAGCCAGCCCAATTAAGTAGAAAGCTGCTGTCTACTGCTATTAATAAACGTCTATTTAATATTTATTGACCAAAAACCACGACCAGCCAACAATTTGAAAAATTAGAGTGAAAAACAAATTCAGCTTGGATTAACTGGCCTTCCGCCCATATGCTGGATTAATATGTGCGCACTCTCTGTGTTGTATCTATAATGTACATGCATTGTAAAGTGTTGTATTGTATTTCATTCTGTCTGAAGATGACTTTGAAATAATTTAAAGTAAAAAATTTACAGTCTCAACCTTTAGTTATATAAAGGGATGACCATAATTATATAAAGGAATGAATCAATTATAGAACACTTGGCCAACAACTAGACAATAATTCAGATATGGTTCGAAATGGAATTTTGTACTCCTGTATTCTTCCTACATTACAAATACTATATTCGTGTTATCTTCTTATATTTAGAAACCTGTTTGAAAGTCAACAAGATTTCTGCACTGATCCGGTAATTTGATTTAATGATACTGAAATTCTTGCAGTGTTCTTATAATATAATAGACTAAATATATCAACTGTCCTGAAATAAAGTTTGGAGCCAGAATGATTTAATTTCTTAAGAACAAATTATATTATTTTGCTTTTTAGTATTCAGAGGGCCTGAAGTGTTAACTAAGGTAATTTGACTTTATTACCTGGGGAATCTTTTAGGGAAATGAAATAGGGGCAGTCAAAATTTGATTTAAAGTGCCACTGTATATTGTTAGGATAACTGGTCAAATTTGCTTCTATGGTCACCCTATGTGGAACTAATAATAATTCCTGTGGTATAGTCTAGCTTACAATAGATAAAGCAACCATAGTTATATAAAGGGATGAAGCAATTATAGCATACCATTGGAACATTGAAAAATCGTCAAAATTGAGCAAAATGGTAAGGCTTACCCCTTACCATTTTGGTCAATTTTGACGACTTTTTTTAATTGTTCAAAAACTGTCCTAAAATGCTAAAAATAACTTCCTAAGTCTAATATCTTTCATTTTAGAGCATATTTGGTTGGTTTTTGAAACAATGAAAAATCGTCAAAATTGAGCAAAATGGTAAGTTTTTCACCCGTTCAAAAACGGTCTTAAAATGCTAAAAATGGCTTCCTAAGACTAATATCTTTCATTTTACAGCATATTTGGTTGGTTTTTGGAACATTCGAAAATTGTCAAAATTGAGCAAAATGGTAAGGCTTACCCCTTACCATTTTGGTCAATTTGACGACTTTTTCAATTGTTCAAAAACTGTCTTAAAAATGCTAAAAATGGCTTCCTAAGACTAATATCTTTCATTTTAGAGCCTATTTGGTTGGTTTTTGGAACGATCAAAAAGTGGTCTAAATTGGCCAAAACGGTAAGTCTTACCCTTTACCATTTTGGTCAATTTTGACCACTTTTTGAACTGTTCAAAAACTATCTTAAAATGCTAAAAATGGCTTCTTAAGACTAATAGCTTTCATTTTAGAGCATATTTGGTTGGTTTTTGGAACGATCAAAAAATGGTAAGGGGTAAGACTTACCGTTTTGGCCAATTTTGACCACTTTTTGAAGTGTTCAAAAACTGTCTTAAAATGCTAAAAATGGCTTCCTAAGACTAATATCTTTCATTTTAGAGCGTATTTGGTTGGTTTTTGGAACGATCAAAAAGTGGTCAAAATTGGCCAAAACGGTAAGTCTTACCCCTTACCATTTTGGTCAATTTGACGACTTTTTCAATTGTTCAAAAACTGTCTTAAAAATGCTAAAAATGGCTTCCTAAGACTAATATCTTTCATTTTAGAGTGTATTTGGTTGGTTTTTGGAACGATCAAAAAGTGGTCTAAATTGGCCAAAACGGTAAGTCTTACCCTTTACCATTTTGATCAATTTTGACCACTTTTTGAACTGTTCAAAAACTATCTTAAAATGCTAAAAATGGCTTCTTAAGACTAATATCTTTCATTTTAGAGCATATTTGGTTGGTTTTTGGAACGATCAAAAAGTGGTCAAAATTGGCCAAAACGGTAAGTCTTACCCCTTACCATTTTAATCAATTTTGACCACTTTTTGAACTGTTCAAAAACTGTCTTAAAATGCTAAAAATGGCTTCTTAAAACTAATATCTTTCATTTTAGAGCGTGTTTGGTTGGTTTTTTGAACGATCAAAAAGTGGTCAAAATTGGCCAAAACGGTAAGTCTTACCCCTTACCATTTTGGTCAATTTTGACCACATTTTGAACTGTTCAAAACCTGTCTTAAAATGCTAAAAATGGCTTCCTAAAACTAGTATCTTTCATTTTAGAGCGTATTTGGTTGGTTTTTGGAACGATCAAAAAGTGGTCTAAATTGGCCAAAACGGTAAGTCTTATCCCTTACCATTTTGGTCAATTTTGACCACTTTTTGAACTGTTCAAAAACTGTCTTAAAATGCTAAAAATGGCTTCTTCAGACTAATATCTTTCATTTTAGAGCATATTTGGAACATTGAAAAAGTCGTCAAAATTGACCAAAATGGTAAGGCTTACCCCTTACCATTTTGGTCAATTTTGACGACTTTTTCAATTGTTCAAAAACTGTTTTAAAATGCTAAAAATGGTTTCCTAAGACTAATATCTTTCATTTTAGAGCATATTTGGAACATTGAAAAAGTCGTCAAAATTGACCAAAATGGTATGGCTTACTCCTTACCATTTTGGTCAATTTTGACGACTTTTTCAACTGTTCAAAAACTGTCTTAAAATGCTAAAAATGGCTTCATAAGACTAATATCTTACATTTTTGAGCATATTTGGAAAATTGAAAAAGTCGTCAAAATTGACCAAAATGGTAAGGCTTACCCTTACCATTTTGGTCAATTTTGACGACTTTTTCAATTGTTCAAAACTGTTTAAAATGCTAAAAATGGCTTCCTAAGACTAATATCTTTCATTTTAGAGCATATTTGGAACATTGAAAAAGTTGTCAAAATTGACCAAAATGGTAAGGCTTACCCCTTACCATTTTGGTCAATTTTGACGACTTTTCCAACTGTTCAAAAACTGTCTTAAAATGCGAAAAATGGCTTCATGAGACTAATATCTTTCAAAACACTAAATCGCTATTTAGTTTAAAATTCTGCAAATAGGATTAACTAAATAAAGAACAAGAGCTTTTGATAAGTGATGCTGTGGCCCAGTTGTTAAGGCTACGGACTACCAGGTTGTAAACCTAGGTTCGAATCCTGCATGGGAAAGGTTCGATTTTT